GGAAGGACAGGAGGAGGTGGAACACGAGAGCGGAGAACAAGGTGAAACGGACCGTCTGCACGGTAACGGGACCGACGGGGCTGTGGAGACACAGCACGACTGAGGGGAGGACGACGAGTCCACTGGGAGGAGGAAAGGGACTCAACTGGTGGAACAGGAGGGGACGGTAGGGGACCACGAACAAAGCATGCAGGTGCTGGGTCGGGGAGGTCGCGTAGTCGCAGTCGCTGCTGCTCCGCCTCCTCTGGCGTCTGCTGCGACGGTACCGGCCCCTGCTGCTGCTCCTGTGGCTCCGCCTCTGCCCTCTCCTGCTGCGGCTGCAGCTGTACCCGCTGCTGCGACCGGGACTCCTGCGCTACCCTCTCCTGCTGCTGCCGTGACTCCTCCTCTACTCTCTCCTGCTGCGTCTGTAACTGCACCTGCTGCTGCGGGTGGGACTCCTGCTCTACCCTCTCCTGGTGCGGCCATGACTGCTCCTCTACTCTCTCCTGCTGTGTCTGTAACTGCACCTGCTGCTGCGGGCGGGACTCCTGCTCTACCCTCTCCTGGTGCGGCCGTGACTCCTCCTCTACCCTCTCCTGCTGCGGCTGCAGCTGCACCCGCTGCTGCGACCGGGACTCCTGCGCTACCCTCTCGTGCTGCTGCTGTGACTCCTCCTCTACTCTCTCCTGCTGCTGCTGCTGCTGCTGTGCCCTCTCAAATCGCTCACGCTCCTCCCTCTCCAACCGGAGGAGACGCTGCTCACGGGTCAGGAAACGTACAGTGCGCGGTGTAGGCGCCACAGTGCCAGTGCCTCCAGCTCCAGCACCCCCAGAACCAGCACCTCCACCACCGACACCCCCGGGGCCTCCAGTACCTCCCGCAGGAACACCCCCAGGCTCCGCAGCAACCGACCGCAGAGAAGAAGGAGGAGGAAACTGCGGGACGGACGGGAAGCCAGGGGGTGAGGCAGGGCGAGGCCGCCGAGTCGAGGCTGCCGTGTCCTCCACAGGAGTGACCTCCACGCCCACAACCCCTGCACCCCCAGAGCCGACACCACCAGCTCCTGCAGCCCCAGTACCCTCACCCTCCGCAACTGCACCTCCCGCACCCCCAGACACGACAGGGACTGGACGCTGCGGGGGGGAAGACTGCGGAGTGACGTGCGACACACCTGACGGGGCAGGACGCGAAGGGGGGGGGGCTACCGGGGCGACTGGTGGGGGCTCAAGGGTGAGGAACAGCGGGGGGAAAAAGGCCTCAGTACCTCGGTGGGGGCGACTCCTGTAGTAACAGACAGACTCGTCGAACGTGACGTCCTGCGAAGCGAAGAACTGGTAGGTGACCGGGTCGTAGAACACCCAGCCGGAGGCGTCCAAAGGGAAGCCAAGAAAGACGCAGGCACGAGTGCGCGGAGACAACTTGTTCGCGCCAGGGGCGGGAACGTGAGCCAGACAACCCCAGACGCGGAAGTCAGCTGCTACGCCCGGAGAACCTGTCCAAAGGGAGACCGGCGTCACCCTTGGCCGTGCGTCACTGGGCCACAGGTTCAGCTGGTGCGCGGCGTAGCGGACTGCCTGGGGCCACAAGAACTGGGGGGCACCGGCATGGCACATGGAGGTCCGGGCAACCTCCATGACCAGGCCGATGCGTCGCTCGGCTACCCCGTTCTGCTGCGGTGATGCTGGTAGCGTGTAAGACTGGATGATCCCCCGACCCTGACAGAACGTCTCCAGGCGAGTGGAAGAAAACTCACCACCACGGTCCGAGTGTAGGCGAAGCCCACACAGGCCCTGGGCGCCACCCCACGCTAGTAGCCACGGCTCGAGGACGGTAGGCACGTCGGCCTTCCGTCGCAAGGGGAAAACCGTGGTGTAGCGGGAGTAGTCGTCCACCACAATCAGGAAGTAGCGCTCCTGACGTGGGCCAAGGACCGGAGAGGGGCCCCAGACGTCCAAGTGCAGGGTCTCGAAGGGAGCCGTGGTGGGGGGGAACGAGGAGGAGTGAGGGGCAGCGCGCTGCCGACCCTCGACGCAAGGAGTGCACAGCGGCGCAGGCGAGCGGGGAAGCGGTGCAAGCGACCCTGGGAGACCTGAGACCAGACGGTAACGTGCCATCCTACTGAGACGCGGGAACGACGGGTGACCTAGACGGTGGTGCCAGAGGACCGACGGGTGGGTGAGGGACCGACAGTCACACGACACAGCAGCTACCTGACCTGACCTGACCTGACCCGACTCAGTGTGGTGGGACCCAGTGTGTAGTGAGTACAGACCAGATCCCGGCTCTCTGTGGAATGTGGCCAGGGGCGCCCCAGTGGCACCGACAGTGCAGGAGGCAACAGGCTCGTCCAGTGGGAAAGTAGTGACTACGCCTAGGTCGTGAAGGTGACTGACACCCACCAGGTTCCTAGAGAACGAGGGGGTGTAGTAACCTGTAAGAAAACCTGAGGGAGCCGCCGGACACGGAAGAGTGGTGGTGCTGCTAGCAACTACACGTCCCACAGAGGGGTCAGCCAAGGCGACAGTGACTGGAGTGCGCAGTGGTGTGAGGTCGGTACAGTCGCGAAAGAAACAGCTGGACGCTCCAGAATCTAGGGTGAAGGAAAGCTGTGCAGTCTGTGGGGTCGCACCCGAACCAGCTACAAAGGCTAGTGCTAGACTAGTGGTAGCTGCAGCTTCTACACAAAGACCCTCAGAGGCGCCGGGACTGGAAACAACACACGCACCAAGACTGGAAACACAGGTCTCTACTCGTGCAGCCGGAAAGGGTCCTAGACCAGGCAGGTGAGACTCAACTGGTGCAGTAGTGCGCTGGCGAAGGCGCGAAGGCCAGTGCGGTGTAATAGCGTGAGGACCAAAACGCTCACGGTGGAGGTCGTCGAGTCGACGGTAGCAGCTGGACGCAGTGTGGTCAGGACTCCAGCAGGTAGTGCCAGCACCAGGGCCTGTCAGGGCCCGGTACCCGCAGGGGCCGACGTCTCGCCCACTGCTAGCTGAGCCACTGCTGGGGGCGCCACACTTTGGACCCGCAGGCCCCCACTGACGGGAGTGCTGCGGCTGGCCCTGCTGCTGTAGAACCCTAGTACATGCCATGTGAGCCTATGCTGCTGCTGGTTCTGCTGGGGGCAGCCTAAGCTGCTGCTGGTGCGCTGGGGGCAGCCTGTGCTGCTTCTGGTTCTGCTGAGAGGCAGCCTAGGCTGCTACTGGTTCTCCAGGGGGCAGCCAATGCTGCTGCTAGTGCGCTGGCAGTTGCCTAAGCTGCTGCTGGTGCGCTGGCGGTAGCCTAAGCTGCTGCTGGTGCGCTGGGGGCAGCCTATGCTGCTGCTGGTTCGCTGGGGGCAGCCTATGCTGCTGCTGCTGGTGCTCTGGCGGCAGCCTATGCTGCTGCTGGTTCGCTGGGGGCAGCCTATGCTGCTTCTGGCTCTGCTGGGGGCAGCCTTAGCTGCTACTGGTTTTGCTGGGGGCAGCCAATGCTGCTGCTGGTGCGCTGGTGGCAGCCTATGCCGCTTCTGGTTCTGCTGGGTGCAGCCTACGCTGCTGCTGGTGCGCTGGGGGCAGCCTATGCTGCTGCTAGTGTGCTGGCGGCAGCCTATGCTGCTGCTGGTTCTGCTGGTTCTGCTGGTTCTGCTGGTTCTGCTGGTTCTGCTGGTTCTGCTGGTTCTGCTGGTTCTGCTGGTTCTGCTGGTTCTGCTGGGGGCAGCCTACGTTGCTGCTGGTGCGCTGGGGGCAGCCTATGCTGCTGCTGGTGTAGCTGGCGGCAGTGTAATCGGCTGGGGCTACTGACGGCGGGTGTGGTAGATCGTGGGGAGGCAGGTTTCAGGTGGGGAAGCTGTTAAGGCAGCGGGCTACGGGTGAGGCGGCGGTTCTGTGCAGTTCTGTGCGGTTATGTGCAGTACTGTGCGGTTCTGTGAGGTTCAATGCGGTGGAGAGGACTGGGTGGGGCAGCTGATTCCGGGTGAGGTGCCTGGAACGGGTGGGGCAGCAGGTTTCCAGGTGGGGCGGCGGTTGTCAGGTCTGGGGCGGTGGTTTTCAGGTGGGGAAGCTGTTAAGGCGGCGGTTCTGTGCGGTTCTGTGCAGTTATGTGCAGTTCTGTGCGGTTCTGAGGGGGATTTCAGGTCTGGGGGCCGGTTACGACGGTGGGCTGCACGTGCGCGCGGCTACGACGTACTAGCGCGGAGCTGCGGGTGCGACTAAGGCTGCGCGCGCAGCTACGTGCGTTCGTCTGCTGCGCGCTAGAGGACTGGGGGGCAACACGCGGGGTAAAACGAGTGGGGCGCGGGGCTAAAAACCGAGTGACGCTCGGCAAAAAAAACGGGTGGGGCGCAGGGCAGAAACGGGTGACGCGCGATGTCGACGGGGGGCGCGACCTACTCGGGCTCTACGGGGCAGGGCGCTTCGGGCTATGGGTCGCTACGAGGCGCGCGGGTGGTGGGCCCATAGACTATCGAGAGAAATTTCGCCTAAGGGAAAAAAATCGCCTAGGGGAAAAATCGCCTAAGGGAAACCTAGCTCTATACCATGTTACGATAAGAATGAATTGATAGAAAATGTGAAGTACAACCCTAGATATAGCAAACCCTAATCATGCAAGTAAGTAGAAATGTAACACCTAGACTAACCTAAACAACACATATAAAATATATGTTGACAGGAAGGCATTTGTAGTATTCACAGCATTTATAGCATTTGTAGCATATGTAGCATTTATAGCATGTATAGCGTTTATAGCATTTATAGCATTTATAGCGATTGTAGCAAGGAGAGGGCAGTTGTCAATCGCGAGGATGGAGAGGCGAGGGGAGGAGGAGGAGGAGGAGGAGGGGTTGAGGAGTGAGGAAGGGCCTGTGAGCGCTGTGAGGTTTGGGAGGTTGAGAATCTCCACGTGGGACAGGCTGCGCGACGGGAAGCACGGCACGGTATGGAGGTTGGCGCATCGCTCTATAATGAGTACAGAGAGCGATGGGCAGTTGGTACGCAGTGGATCGCAGATGACAGTCAGGTTGGGAAGATTGCGAAGCTTTAAGGTTTGCAGGCTGGGAGGAGGAGTGAGGAGGGAAGAGAAGTGCGGGCAGTTTTCGATGGAGAGGATGGTGAGGGACGGGCAGGCGGCAGGCAGGGAAAGGCATCCGGGCAGCTGGGAAAGTTTTGGAAGGTTGCGCAGCACCAGATGTTGCAGGCTGGGCATGTGGATCGGGGATTTGAGCAGTGACCTGGTTGACTCGGTTGACTCGGAGTCACTGCTGCCAGTAGCCGAAAAGGAGGAGCCTGAGTAGCCGTCCAGCACGAGGCGCGTGAGCGAGTGGAGCTGGAGGATGCCACGTGGCAGGTGCTGAAGGGCTGACACGTCAGCAAGCTCGAGGTGTTGCAGTTTGGAAAAGAAGAGGGGGTGCCGCGGCTGTGCTGCTGCCGTGACAGTGGCGACACCACCACCCTGCTTACTCAGACTGTCAGCCTGTGACGACTGCTGCTGCTGCTGCTGCTGCTGCTGCTGCTGCTGCTGCTGCTGCTGAGCCTTCTCTTGGCAGCGGTGAAGCTTCTTCCGTTGGCGCCGCTGTCGCCTTCGCCAATGAGGCGGCAGTTGCTGCCCACAGCTTGCCCCCACATCCCCTTCATCACTCTCACCCCCCGACATCACCGAAACAACCGCGTTATCATCATCGTGGAATTGAATCCCCTTTCTTCGGCCTTCACCCACCCGTCGCTCCCCATCCTCCTCCTGTGAAGGCACAGCTGCCAACCCACAGCCATCCCTTGGCATCGTCCAAGCGACAAGCGCCATCGAATAGCATCCCTCCACGCGAATGCGCTGCAGCGACGGCAGCAATGCAAGCGACGCCGGAAGCTGCCGCAGCGCCAAGCAGTCCTTCAAAACCAGCTCCTGCAGACACGTCAGCTGCCCTAGGCAATTTCCAGGGAGCCACATCACCCCCTCCCCTGCGTCACGGATCTCTAAGCACAGCAGGGAGGGCGCCAAGGGGGAGAGCCTCGGGATTGCCACAACGCCAACGAGCGACAGTGACGTCAGCTGCGGCAGCGCTGCCAGGCGGGCGATGAGCCAATCACTGACGGTCCCTCTGCTGCTGCTGCTGATGCTTCGGCAGGAGTCCCCGTGTAGAGTGAGGGAGCGCAGGTGGGGGAAGGCGGAGAGCGTATGCAGGAGGGCGCGGGGGTGTAATAGCAGACCCGGGGGAACAGTGATGGCGCGGGGGAGAAGCGCGGAGAGGCGCAGCCAGCGGCGGGAGACGAGCGCGCAGGCGACAGCGGCGGGGTGAGGGCGACCGCGGAGTTCTCTGCGTTGCGGCAGGAGCATGTGGGGTCCTTGCAAGGCAGCTGCTGCTGTTGCTTGTAGCCCCTGTGATTGCGGGTGGTGATGGTCATTGCGTTAGGGCATGCCGTTGCTGAACAAGGAGGGCCGGTACTATCACTTGCATCGGAGCTACTACTACTACTTGCATCGATTGCGGTCGTCGCTTCATCGGCGGCTTCGCTATTGCTGCTGCTGCTGGTGGTCGAAGAAGGGGCGCTGCCGCTGCCGCTGCTGCTCCTGCTACTGATGGCGTGGTGGATGATGCTCAGCAAGACGACATCTGGCAGCCGATCAATGTCGCACGGCGAACACGCGACGCAAGCAGCAGCCGTACGATTCGACGCTGTGGCAGCCGTTCGATCCGAAGGGTTGCGACGGATCCTGATGCGAGGCGCCGCCGGCTGCGGGGATATCATGCAGCGGCGGTTGCGCGATTTGTCCATTGAAGCGGAGTGGCCAAGGCTGGATGGATCGATGGACGGATACGCAAGGGATTGCCAGGCGCGGAAATGCGGGGCTTCCTCAAGCCGGTTTCAAGCTAGGAAAGAAGTGTCGCTTTTTGCTATCGTCGCTGTACGTATCTACGCGTGACTCGCAACGCACGAAGGAAAGAAAAGGGAGGTGTCTGTCTGGTGGTCACTGGGCGCTGCCTCGTGCGGTGATGGAGAAATCAAAACAAATTGCTGGAGAATGAAAGGCCGTTCATAGGGATTTGTGCCAACCTCGGCGAGACCCTACAAGCACCTGAAGGCGCAAAGAGAAATAGGTTAGGTGCTGACAAAGCAGGTGCCACGTCATTTATTTCTTAGTACCCCAAACCACCTTTCCTCCGTTGACGCCGTTGACCGAATGTTGGTGATGGCGTGTTGGTGTGAGGGGTTTTGACCGAGAGCGCCAGAGATTTTACAGCAAGGCATGTTACAACAGCGTTCAAAAAAATCGTGACCAACCATTTCTAACCGCTGTTACAACAGTTTCCCTCTTACACTTACTCCATCTGAAATAACTCTACCGAAAGAGTACGAATGTAAATAAAAGAAAGGGAGAAGATATTATTTGGCAATGTGGCAAATGCTAGAATATTGAAATGTTTCTAACATTCCAGCACCCATGGTAATAGCATGAAGAGACCATGCTCGGGGCATTATATTCGCGGGCGGGGTGGGAGGGGAGGGGGGAGGAGAGGGGGAAGGGGGAAAAGGGGTTATGGGCTCTTACTCTACTGAGAGCACACGATGGAGATCTTGTTGGTTTAAGAATTCTCTACTTCAGTTCAGTACCAATAGTTTTTTCATCTGCAACTTCTCCGTCTGACAGCACACGATGGAGAGCTTGTCACTGACTTGAAAGGGATCCGAATAGAATGCCGGATCCGAGGGGTACCCCTTCTGCAGGCGACAAAGAGGAGGGTGGGGGGGGGGGGGAGGGAGCAGAGGCAGGAGGGATGCAGCACGTGAGAGAGAGCTTGTCGCTGACTTGAAAGGGATCCGAATGATACGCCAAATCCAAGGGGTACCCCGTCCGCAGGCGGCAGCAGGGAGGCAGCAGGGAAACAGCAGGGAGGCAGCAACGGGGAGAAGCCAGGCAGCAGGAGGGGGGAGCAAAGGGGTTGCCGGGAGGGGTTTCCCTCCCTGCTGCCACCCGAGTGGCAAAGGGTATTTATCTTTGGTTGGGAAGGATACCCTTTCTGCCACTCAAGTGGCAGCACGGAGGGAGACAGCAACCTTTCAGAGGGCAGATAAGACGGAAACCAGACACATGGGAAATATTGGGGGAATATTGTATCCAGTGCGGTGAAAAGGTGTACAGACAGATGGGGAGAGTGGAAGGTCTGTACATGGGTAAGTAGGCGATGAGATGGTTGGAGTGGTGGGGAAGTGAGCAAGGAAGAAAAGGAGCGAGGGAGCAAAGGAGCAAGAGAGCCAAAGAGCAAGAGAGCAAGGCATGAGAGGGCATACAGCAGCCAGAGCAGCGAAAGTGTCCTCTCGTTCCGTGTACTCTCGAACGATCAAAGGCACGCCATGTTCTTCCTCCTCCTCCTCATCTGATGTTCTCTCCTGCCCATCCCGAACCCTGTTTCTATTCTCCTCCTTTTCCTGCTGCTGCTGTTGGGTGTGATGCAAGTGTGAAACTGCAGCTGCAGCCGCACCAGCAGCAGCAGCAGCATGTGCTGCAGCGGTTTGCGCTGCTGTTGTGGCGGCGGTAGCAAGGCTGGGGAGGCTTGAGGTTGGAGGCTGGGGGAATGTGAGGGCGGATGGTGGTGAGAGAGGGTTCACGGGAGCAGGCATGGAGGTGAAGGGGCAGAAAAAGCGAGAGTCGCGCACGCGCATGAGAGCTCCATCCACACGCAGCTGAGTGAAGGGGGAAGGAGGGGAGGAGGGGAGGAGGGGTGAAGGGGTGACTGACACGAGATAGGAAGGGAGACAGAGGAGGGCAAAGGAGAATCGCACAGGCATATGAGGGCTCCATCCACACGCAGCTGAGAGAGAGGAGGGGGGAAGAGATGGACATTGAAAGAGACAAGACATTAAGGTCAGGGGGGGGGGAAAGGAGAGTGAGACGAGGCGAACGTCGCTGCTTGACATTTCACAGTGTGGGAGATGGTGACGTCAGATGGGAGATGGTGACGTCAGATGGGAGATGGTGACGTCAGATGGGAGATGGTGACGTCAGATGGGAGATGGTGATGTCAGATGGGAGATGGTGACGTCAGATGGGAGATGGTGACGTCAGATGGGAGATGGTGACGTCAGATGGGAAATGGTGACGTCAGATGGGAGGTGGTGACATCAGATAGGAATGGTGACGTCAGATGGGAGATGGTGACGTCAGATGGTAGATGGTGACGTCAGATGGGAAATGGTGACGTCAGATGGGAGGTGATGACGTCAGATAGGAATGGAGACGTCAGATGGGAGATGGTGACGTCAGATGGGAGATGGTGACGTCAGATGGAGGACTCACCCAGAAGCGGAGGAGGATGAACCAGCAGGTTGGCATGACCCTCTGCGTTCAGTGACAGGGGGCGTCGACAACCGATTGAAAGAAGGCGAAAGAAGGAAATAAAAATATAATGAAAGGGAATGAGGAGAGTGAGGGATGCAGATACCATTGTGTACATACACATGCAATTCAAGAAAATGGTTTATCTACATAAATTTATGCATGCATATGTGTATATATACATAAATTATATATGCATACACATATATACACATAGCCATAGTTCAAGCCATTGAGGTGTCTTGGAACGGAAACAGACCGGCAGCTGCTGCATATTTAGTTTTTTTAAATCCTATGCGGGTGAATATACCGCACCCCATAGCCAATCTTACTAAGGTTGGGGGAGTGGGAGAGGGTGGAAGAGCAGGGTGGGTGGTACTCACGGCTCTGGCAGTGAGGAGAGAGATGCCACTGTCAGCCAACTCATCCTCATATAGCACCACCTGGTAGGGTGGGATGGGATAATGGGAGATAGATTGGGGCGAGATTGGGTGCAGCAATAAGAGCAGGCGAGGCGAGTGAGCAAAGGATCCCATGAGTCGACTCAAATGCCACTGTCAGCCAACTCGTCCTCATATAGCACCACCTGGTGGGGTGGGATGGGATGGGATGGGAGGTAGAAGCGCAAGGGAAGGTGTGGCAGACAGAGAGATTCAGAAGTATCGGCTGCAATCACCCCATCACTCCATCGCTATTCCATCACCCAACCATTCTCTGCTGCCATCACCCAACCATTCTCTGCAGCCATCACCCAACCATTCTCTGCTGCCATCACCCAACCATTCTCTGCTGCCATCACCCAACCATTCTCTGCTGCCATCACCCAACCATTCTCTGCTGCCATCACCCAACCATTCTCTGCTGCCATCACCCAACCATTCTCTGCTGCCATCACCCAACCATTCTCTGCTGCCATCACCCAACCATTCTCTGCTGCCATCACCCAACCATTCTCTGCTGCCATCACCCAACCATTCTCTGCTGCCATCACCCAACCATTCTCTGCTGCCAGCACCCAACGTGCGAGTCGTGTGCGAACAATGCTGGCCAAACCAAAAACATAGCCCCAGCTACCATCACCGCATCCCAGACTTTATCACCGCATCCCAGACTTTATCACCGCATCCCAGACTTTATCACCGCATCCCAGACTTTATCACCGCATCCCAGACTTTATCACCGCATCCCATCCATAAGTACCTCATCGGAGAAGAAGATCGGGTCGCGGCGTTGCAGCATGGCCCAACCATCCGTACCTCATCCCAACCATCACCACCGCATCCCAGCCATAAGTACCACCACATAGGAGAAGAGGATTGGGTTGCCCATGGCCCAGCGGCGCAGCAGCATGGCCCAGTCAATGCCCTTGCCCCGCCAGATTCTTCACCATATACCAACCATCACCACCGCATCCCAAACATTATCACCGCATCCCAGCCATTACTACCCCATGGCAGCCATAGCAACTTCATCAGAGAATAGGATGGGGTCCCAGCACTGCAGCATGGCCCGAAAAATGGCCCTCGCTCCACCCAAAATTTCCACCATCCCAACCATCACCACCGCATCCCAACCATCAGTACCTCATCAGAAAAAAGGATGGGGTCGCGGCGCTGCAGCATGGCCCAGTCAATGCCCTCGCCCTCCCCACACGCCACCCACTCCGCCTCCCACTCCCCTCCTCCCCCTTCTCCGGCCCCACTTCCCTTGTGCTCTCCCCCCTCCCCCACCCTTTCGCTCCTTTGCTCCACACTCCCTCTCTCTCCCCCTCCCCCTCCTCCCCCAGCGGCAGCAGCATCAGATTGCGGCCAGACGGTTTGCACCTCCCTCACCACCCCTTCTGCCACCCCTGCTCCCTCCATCTCTCCCTCCCTCATCCCCTCTTCTCCCTCTGCGCTCGCTCTCGCCCCTTTCCCGTCTTCCCCTCCTCCTACTCCAACTGCCAGACCTTCACTGCTGTTGCTGCTGCCGGTTCTGCCGGCATTGCTGATGCTGATGTTAGCAACACGTGACGCGAGGGGTGCGCTGACATCAGCAGGTGCGTGAGTGCTGCTGGTGCCGATTTTAGGTGAAAGAGAGTTGCTGCTACTGGTGATAATGGAGCCGCAGTAGGGCGTGGTGAAGGTGTAGTCATAATCGAGAATGATATCTGTGGATGGGCGGCTGGAGGGTGGGATTGGGTGGGATGGGGTGGGATGGGATGGGATGGGATGGGATGGGATGGGATGGGATGGGATGGGATGGAGTGGAGTGGGGCGAGACATGGGACAAGGAAAGCACGTAAGCCGCAGTAGGGGGTGGTGAAGGTGTAGTCATAATACAAAAAGATATCTGTGGATGGGCAGCTTGAGGGTGGAATGGGGAGAGAGGTAGGGTGGGGTGGGATGGGGTGGGGTGGCAGGGCAGCGCATCAAAAGAATCAAAGAGCTGAAAACACCAAGAAGAAAGAACAAACCTCACTTCCCTTCTCCCCTTCCCATCCCCCCCCCCTCATCTTCTTTTACCCCATGCAGCAGCAGCAGGCACCTTCACCAACGCAAGCCACCCCTCCTCCACACCTTCAGCGCCCCCCACCCTTGCATATTTCCATAACCCCACTTACGTGTGCTTAAACCCTGGCCCCTCTCCCCCAAAACCCCCCAACACACCCCCTCCCTCACTTTCTATTCCCCCATGCAGCAGCAGCAGCAGGCACCTTCACAGGCGGAAGCTTTGCCTCCTTCCACCCCTCCAGCGCCCCCAGCTGCACGCCCACGCCCGTGCCTAAGTGCTCTGCGCGCAGGCACCCAGTAAACCCATTAGACCCACTCACCTTCTTTTCCCCCACGCAGCAGCAGCAGGCACTTTGACAGGCGGAAGCTTCCCCTCCTTCCACCCTCTCAGCGCCTCAAACGCCCCCAATTGCACGCCCACGCCCGTTCCCAGGTGCTCCGCGCGCAGGCAGCTCTAATTAACCCCATAAGTCTCCTCACCTTCTCTTCCCCCACGCGGCAGCAGCAGGCACCTTCACAGGCGGAAGCTTCGCCTCCTTCCACCCCCTCAGCGCCTCTAGCGCCCCCATCTGCACACCCACGCCCGTGGTAAGGTGCTCCGCGCGCAGGCAACTCTTCCCAAACACCATCTCGGGAAGCCACTGCGTGGAGAGAGCGGCTTGCCACCTGGGAGAGTTAGGGGGTGTCGGAGGGAGGGGTTTGAGGGGGTTTGGTAGGGTCAATGCGGTGGACGTATGGGTGACGTCCCAACCGCACACCCGCGTGCGTGCTCTCGTGCTGCGCGCACAGGCAGCTCCGCCCAAACACCACCTCGGGGAGGCACTGCGAGGAGAGAGCCGCCTGCCACCTGGGGGAGAGGAATGGGCGAGACGTGTGGGGGAAAAGGCGTGTGAGAGGGAGGCACAAGCACCTCTAGTGCCCCAAACTGCACGCCCACGCCCGCGCCCAGGAGCTCCGCGCGCAGGCAGCTTCGACCAAAGACCATCTCGGGGAGCCACTGCGAGGAGAGAGCCGCCTGCCACCTGGGGGAGACGGGGAGATGGGAGGGTTGGGTGGGAAGGCAGTGGAGGAAGGGGAGTGGGGAGGTGGGAGCTGGGGAGGGGGGAGGCGAAGAGGGGTAAAACCCAGCAACTATTCGAGCTTCTGTATTTTTTTCTGAAATCGGAATTGGCTGGTGTGGGTCCTGTATGCGTTGATTGCGAATCCGCGCATCCGCGGCACTGTATGTTCACATTGAAAGGTGTTGGGAGCGGACACTGGAATGGGTCGAAGGGGTCTTTCCCCTGGAATCGACTACAGGTTTCGTTCAGGGGGTGTATGGGCGTTGAAATTTGATGCGTTGCCAGCGGATCTTGGGCTTACGTGTGAAAGGAGAATTATACTCCCGCGACTCACGCTTCCGTCTCTTCAGCGGTGAGAATCGGTTCGTGGCGGCACTCGATGCGCCAACCGCCGATCTCGATTCCGCGCCGCCGCGGCTCCTCCAGCAGCTTCCCGCCAAACGCCGCCACCGCCGCTGCGCTCATCGGCGGAACGCTCATGGCGCACGGCAACGGTCGGAGCGCGCAGGGCGCGGGAAGCAGGGCGCAGCGCGTAGGGAGTGGCAGGCAGCGTGAACTGCGAGCAAGGAGAATCGAATTTCACCTCGCTGGCCTAAAATATGATCACAGAAGGTCGTGCGATGATCAGCGACGGAGAAGGAGATTCGGACGATGACGGAGGTTGACGGCGACAATGAGACGCAACTGCCAGACAGCTAGCATCTAGATAGGTCGATGAGATCGCATCGCATGTGGATTTGTGACATTGGGATTTATGACACTAGTATCACAGACCAACTTCAAGGTTGGCGGACTAACCAGATTCGAGCAGGAAAACCTCCATTTACCGCATTGGACCGATATTTGCCTCTTCATCTGCAGCAAACAGTATTTGGCAACCTCGTTTCTTCTGAAGCTGCTTTCAAATTTGAATTTGATTGAAGTTGGTATGTGGACTCAACCACGACTGAACTTGCTGTCAGTTTCGTAATCTGAGCGTAACAGTGACGAATTGCGGCAATTGATTCAAAACTCTGAATCTCTTCAGCGGCGGTTCCGACACTAATTCAGGGGGCGTGTCAACAGCTTTGGCAGTATTTTCCACTGTCGTGTCAGAAATTGTTTCACTCGACGCGACGACCCCTCTGCCTGTTGTAGGTGACACACCGTCACATCAATTGCATCAGCCCCGACCAATTTTACAAGTATGGGACACTTGTGGCGGCCCTCACCCCTCTGTCTCTCTTTTTGACCGTTTACCACCAAAGATGTTCGACGATTTTCTCACTCCAAACCATTCTGTTTCCTTTCGCGTCGATCCCGTCGGCTCATTTTTCCATCCATCGATTATCCAACCCACCCACCCCCCCTTCGAATAACGCGCGATCACGTCACAAGCCTTACCGTAATGCGGGAGCGAGATGTTACTGACATGTTACCGGATCTGATCTGCAGCTTGCTTTGCACGCGTGGCGCGCCATAACCCGCCAGCTCCTGGCCGTTAAGACGCAAATACGCGGGAACTCTGTTCCATCACTTCAGCTAGAACCTAGGATCAGGGCTTCGTTTGATCCGAGTCGAGAGTCGAATCGAGAGTCGAGACATTACTTGCTTGATTGAAGTTTTGTTTAGCCTCTTAGTCCTTTTCATCCCCGCAATTGGCTTGGCGCGATGAAGGTGGTGGCGTTAGTGAGCGGGGGGAAGGACAGCTGTTTCAACATGATGGAGTGTACGCGGTATGGACATGAGGTGCGTGGCGTACGCGATATTGAGATGGAAGGGGCTGTGCATTGGCATGGCATCGCCGTACCACCATAATTTCACGCCTCCTCGCCGCACCATCATTATATCTCCATGTTCCTTGGCGCCTTACCTCCTGTTTCAAATTCCAGTCCAGCAGCGGTTTAAAAGTGTGTCTTACGCTCGCTACACCGCATTCCGTTGTTGATCCCCCACAAATACAGCTAGTTACATGCCCAACCAGACTCAAAAGTCCCTTCAACCTTTGAATCTCAACCCTGATTCTTGAACCCCGACCTTAAACCCGAAAGCCTTGTCGTTAAGCTTTCAGACTTAACCCCGCGCTCAAAATTCATCCCACGTGCTCGATCCTGTCGCATGGCGTTGCGTGCCAATGCATGGCGTTGCATGGCATTGCATGGCATAACATGGAATGGTATGGCATGGGATGGGATGGCATGGGATGGCACGGGATGGCATGAGTTGGGATAGGATGGGATGATATGGGATGGGATGGGATGGGATGGGATGGGATGGGATGGGATGGGATGGGATGGGATGGGATGGGATGGGATGGGATGGGATGGGATGGGATGGGATGGGATGGCATGGGATGGCATGGGATGGGATGGCGCATGGGATGACATGAGATGGGATGGGATGGGATGGGATGGGATGGGATGGGATGGGATGGGATGGGATGACATGACATGGGATGGGATGGGATGGGATGGGATGGGATGGGATGGGATGGGATGGGATGGGATGGGATGGGATGGGATGGGATGGGATGGGATGGGATGGCATGGCATGGGATGGCATGGCATGGCATGGCATGGCATGGCATGGGACTGGATGGCGTGCGATGGGATGGCGTGCGATGGGATGGCGTGGGATGACATGGCAACAGGTGGTGGCGTTGGCGAATCTGCTACCATCAGATGATGAAACGGACGAGCTGGACAGTTTCATGTTCCAAACCGTACGTTGCAGTTTCGTGTTTCATTCAAGCAGTAAGTTGGTGACATTCGGGTCTAAGTCAACGTCATGCTCAAAGCTCAGTTTGAGACGTGAACTCAAAAGTCATGCTCCCGTCGCAGGGCTCGTATCATGGCTGCCGCATGCCCTGTGCCTTGCATTGGAGCATGGCTCTCTTGTGTCGCTGCAGCCCTCTGTAACTTGGCGGCTTCAGGTGGATCTTCAGGTGTTTATCAGCATAGATGGATTGTGTGTGCCACGCATGCCACGTGCAACTTGTCACTCTACCTTGCTGCATCATACCCCTCCGCCACTTCCCCCTCCATCTGCCCACCCCGTCTCCCACCACCCCTGCCCCCTCTGTTGGTTTCAGGTGGGTCATCAGGTGATTGCAGCATACGCAACGTGCATGGGGCTGCCTCTCTTCCGCCGCCGCATTAAAGGCTCCTCCAAGTAAGCTCCGTCTCCATACCCTCAGAGCCCTCCCAACCCCTTCTTTCCCTCTCATCCAAGCATGATCTCTCCTGCAACCTTCCCTCCTTCCCACCCCTTCCCCTCTCTTACTCTGCCGATGCCTTACACAAGGCTCCTCCAAGTAAGCTCCGTCTCCACTCCATACCCTCAGAGCCCTCCCAACCCCTTCTTTCCCTCTCATCCAAGCATGATCTCTCCTGCAACCTTCCCTCCTTCCCACCCCTTCCCCTCTCTTACTCTGCCGATGCCTTACACAAGGCTCCTCCAAGTAAGCTCGCCTTGCCCGGCCTTGACACAATGCAGTTGCTGAAATCAAAGTATCCTCCAACAGTGCTCTCCTGCTCTCACCCCATCGTTACCTGCTCTCACCCCATCGTTACCTGCTCTCACCCCATCGTTACCTGCTCTCACCCCATCGTTACCTGCTCTCACCCCATCGTTACCTGCTCTCACCCCATCGTTACCTGCTCTCACCCCATCGTTACCTGCTCTCACCCCATCGTTACCTGCTCTCACCCCATCGTTACCTGCTCTCACCCCATCGTTACCTGCTCTCACCCCATCGTTACCTGCTCTCACCCCATCGTTACCTGCTCTCACCCCATCGTTACCTGCTCTCACCCCATCGTTACCTGCTCTCACCCCATCGTTACCTGCTCTCACCCCATCGTTACCTGCTCTCACCCCATCGTTACCTGCTCTCACCCCATCGTTACCTGCTCTCACCCCATCGTTACCTGCTCTCACCCCATCGTTACCTGCTCTCACCCCATCGTTACCTGCTCTCACCCCATCGTTACCTGCTCTCACCGCATCGTTACCTGCTCTCACCCCATCGTTACCTGCTCTCACCCCATCGTTACCTGCTCTCACCCCATCGTTACCTGCTCTCACCCCATCGTTACCTGCTCTCACCCCATCGTTACCTGCTCTCACCCCATCGTTACCTGCTCTCACCCCATCGTTACCTGCCCTCACCCCACCCTTGTTCACTCGGTCGCTCGCCCTGCCATGCCATGCGCTTGGCAATGAATCACTTCAGTGCTCGACAGCAGGGGACGAAGTGGAGGACATGGAGGTGATTCGCCTTCGCACGTCACTCAGAACCCACCCTCACCCCATCTCTACGCCGCCCTTACTCCATTGCGCGCTTACTAACCTGCCACTGCCAGGCATCTGGCCATGAGGTACAGCACCACGGCAAGGGAGGAGGTGGAGGATATGGAGGTGGTGCTGCTTCCCTTGTCGCCCCACGCACCCTCCCTCCATTCATACCAACCCCATCCCTCGCCCGTTCAATCAATCCGCCAGGCACCTGGCAATGAGGTACAGCAAGACAGCAGGGGACGAGGTGGAGGACATGGAGGTGCTGCTGCTTCCCTTCCTCGTCGCCCCACTCCTGACACACATTCACCCCATTGTTACCCCGGCCCCACCCCATGCTTGCACCACCCGCCAGGCACCTGGCAACGAGGTACAGCACGACAGCAGGGGACGAGGTGGAGGACATGGAGGTGCTGCTCCTTCCCTTGTCGCCCTCATCCCATCCTCGTTACTCTCTCGTCCCACCCTCACCCCCCCTCGCCCACTAACCCACCGGGTATCTTTCCATGTGGTACAGCACGACTGCAGGCGACGAGGTGGGAGGGCATGGAGCTGCCGCCGCCGCTGCTGCCGCCGCCGCTGCTGCTGCTGCTGCTTCACTTGTCGCCCTCATTCCATCCGCACCCTACTCTCATCTACCCTCACCCCCACATTACACGTTCAACCCGCCAGGCACCTGGCCATAAGGTACAGCATGACAACAGGGGACGAGGTAGAGGATATGGAGGTGCTGCTGCTTCCCTTGTCACCCCACTCACTCTCCACTCCATTCATCCCAACCCCATCCCTCGCCCGTTCAATCAATCCGCCAGGCATCTGGCAATGAGGTACAGCACCACAGCAGGTGACGAGGTGGAGGATATGGAGGTGCTGCTGCTTCCCTTGTCACCCCACTCACTCTCCACTCCATTCATCCCAACCCCATCCCTCGCCCGTTCAATCAATCCGCCAGGCATCTGGCAATGAGGTACAGCACCACAGCAGGTGACGAGGTGGAGGATATGGAGGTGCTGCTGCTTCCCTTGTCACCCCACTCACTCTCCACTCCGTTCATCCCAACCCCATCCCTCGCCCGTTCAATCAATCCGCCAGGCATCTGGCAATGAGGTACAGCACCACAGCAGGTGACGAGGTGGAGGATATGGAGGTGCTGCTGCTTCCCTTGTCACCCCACTCACTCTCCACTCCATTCATCCCAACCCCATCCCTCGCCCGTTCAATCAATCCGCCAGGCATCTGGCAATGAGGTACAGCACCACAGCAGGGGACGAGGTGGAGGATATGGAGGTGCTGCTCAGGGTGGTCAAGAAACACCTCCCAGGTGAGATTATTAGCACTATTACAGAAGCTGCTATGCACTGAACCTCGCTCACTGCCTCTTTTCCTGCCTTCGGTCTCCCTTGTAAAAGCTGCCTCCCACACTCCGCGCCTGCAAGCTGATCTATGTTGCTCCGCACCCACTCTTCTCTTCTCCCGTCCATCCACACTCACAGCTGTGCAGGGAGTGTGTCAGTGGGGGCGATAGCATCGGACTATCAGCGGGAGCGGGTGGAGCATGTGTGCTCAAGAACGGGCCTCACTCCCCTCTGTTCCTCCTCTTCCACCCATCCCTCCTGCTCCTTGCCGGCCCATCCACACTCACAGCTGTACAAGGTGTGTCGGTGGGAGCAATAGCATCGGACTACCAGTGGGAGAGGGTGGAGCATGTATGCTCGAGGCAGGGAATTCTGTTGTTCCTCTCCTCCTCTTCCACCCATCCCCTCTGTTCTTCCCGTGTCCCATCCATAATCTCAGCCGTGCAGGGCGTGTCAGTGGGAGCGATAGCATCGGACTACCAGAGGGAGAGAGTGGAGCATGTATGCTCGAGGCTGGGCCTCACTCCCCTCGCCTACCTGTGGCAGCGACCACAAAAAGCACTGCTAGACGACATGGTGAGATGGTGGGGTGGGTGTGGTGGGATGGGGAGGGGTGGGGTGCGATTGTCATCAGATTGTTTGCTGCTGCAGCACTGCTAGACGACATGGTGAGGTGGTGGGATGGTGGGATAGGTGGGTGAATGAGTGTGTGCTCGAGACTGGCCCTCACCCCTCTCGCCTACCTGTGGCAGCGACCGCAAAAGGCGCTTCTAGATGATATGGTATGATGGCGGAGTGGTGTGATGGGAATTTGATTAAGTGTAGGACTGCAGTCCACTCACAACCCTCGCCTACCTGTGGCAGCGACCGCAAAAGGCGCTTCTAGATGACATGGTGCGATGGTGGGGCTGTGTGATGGGAAAGTGACTGGGTGCAGCCGGGGTGGAGTGGGGTGTGTGTGGTGGGGTGGGGTGGGGTGGGGTGGGGTGGGGTGGGGTGGGGTGGAGTGGGGTGGGTTAATTGCATCTGGCATACACACCACTCTTGTTATCAAAGTGGCCGGGCAGCACACTGTTGGTTGGGGCTATTGTTCGTCCATCACCATGTTTCCATCCGCATTACTGTGCTGTGCCCCTCCTTATCAGATCGCATCGGGTCTGCTTTTGAGCCGACTCATTATCAGATAGCATCGGGCATCCACGCCATTCTCATCAATTGGCGGCACTGAGCCTGCAACCTTGGCACTTAGTCACCACAGCCAGCTGCAGAAAGTGCTTTGCCTGATAATCCACCCTTCCCACCCTCTCTTGATGGTCCTTTCTTGTATGAATGTTCACCAGATAGCAGCGGGCATCCACACCATTCTCCTCAAGGTGGCGGCACTGAGCCTGCGACCTTTTAGACACAGTCACCAGAGTTTTGCAGCAGTGTGTTGTTTGGTGATCCCCCTCCCATCCTCGAATGGTCCTTGCATTAATCAGGGGGTGTTACAACGGTAGATGCAAACACAAGCATAAACAAACAATCAAAGCCGGTATCCTGACTACCACACTGTCTTCTACCTGCTCCCGCCCCCCTCTGTCCGACCCTACTGGTCGAACGGGGGCTCAATCAACTGGTGCAGCTGCCCCTCACTAAGAGGGGCAATGGGTCCCTGCATACCGAGCTCGTCCGCCGCCAAGGCCTCGTTGGTCTTGGAGCGGAGGGCATTGGGCTGCACTCGTGATTGAAGAAGTGTTTTGAGACATCTCAAAACATTGGCCTGCGCTCGTTGGAGGCAGACGCTCCAGCGCTGACGGTACTCCGTCAGCAGCTTGGCTGCCTCGTACGAGGTAGGTGCGGCGTTAAATCTCAGCTTGGCCGCCAGCTCCGCGCCCTGCCGCAGGTAGGCCATCACCCCCGGGGAGGGGTAGCCGTAATTCTCGACCGCAAGGGCATGGAAGCCCACCCACGTGTTTCGCCGCGCGTATTTCTCCTCCTTCCTAACCGCTGCCGCCCTAGCCGCCCATCCAGGAGCTCAGTTGCAGTGCTTGTCCTGGTGAGACACGGGGTCCGTCACAGTCACATCGCACATGAACACCTCTCCCGTCAGGGGATGACGGATTGTAACGTCCGCCTTTAGGTTCTCAACGAGAGAGTAAGCGTAAGACTCCTTGTGCTCTGTGAAGCCCGCTTCTGCCCCTATGTTTGCTATCTCATCCCGAAGGGCGTGGTGAGTAGCAATTCTCCCTTTCCCCTTCTCGCAGCGCATGAGGTGGTTGGGCAGGCGGTCATTGGGGAAGGTGGTGCTGTAACGGCAGTCACAGCGCCTAGGCACGGGGAGGGGGAGGCCTAAGCGGAAGGCTGCTGCAGTTGAGAGCTGAGAAGGGCCCATCCGGAGTGAGGGGATGAGGGGAATCGCCAGCAGCCAGTCCCCCGCACCCGGGCCTAGCACCGACTGCATCCGCTGGGCATGGCCCGAAAGGGGGTTGGGGCACATCCGCCTCGCCTCACGCATAACCCCCAGGAAGCGGCGGGAGTGAACCGCCAACGCCAGAGACTGCTGCAGCTTTAGGCCCTTCGGGTCCGCCTTCCCGGCCTGGAGCACCTCCAAAGCCTCTGGGGGGTGAGCCGCCTCCGCAGCTGTGAGGCGTGCTGGCAGGGCATGGGCAGAGCCGTGGGTCGGGTCCAGGAGGGGGAGGAGCGCGGTGACTGCGGGGTGCAGTGAGTCAACCAGGGAGTGCAGGAGGTGCGCAGCGCTAATCACCGACGCGAGGTATGCATAGCTGCCTTCAACGGCGGGGTCGGTGATGCCCAGTCCTCCTAGCGTTACTGGCAGTGCCGCCTGCCGCCAAATCCTCCGTCTCTCCGCGGCACTCCTCGGGGTCATGATGTGGGCCGAATCTAAGAAGGTGAGTAGAAGCCGCTCCCCCCATGCAGACCTCTCCACTTCAGGTAGCGCCTCCAGGGGGGTGGTTCTGGCCAGAAAGGAGGCACGGCGGCTGACGCAGCGAGCGAGGAGGAGGAGGCTGAGCTGGGGGTCAATTTGGGCCAGCAGGGGGAGTGGTGCCGCTGCTGCCGCTAGTCTCTCCCGAACCGCGTTGCCGCAACCCTGGGGTGTGCCGATGGGGCTGCCCAGGATCTGTAATCCTTCTCCAGAGATAGTGACGCCTCGAGGTACGGAAGAGGGGTCTACTGCCGCGGCTGACCAAGCCGCGCACTTGGCCGGGTTGTGTACGAGGCCGAGGGTGGCTAGCGCGGACGTGAGGTGGTCGAAGGCTGCTGCGCAGGCCGTGGCGTCGCCGAGCAGCGTGATCTCGTCGGCGTACGCCAGCAGGACCACCTGTGGATGTGCCGCTGCTGTGTCCGCGAGGCACGGGTGGATGCTCGACGCGAATAAGAGGGGCCCGAGCGGGTCCCCCTGGCGGACTCCTCTGGCACTCTGCAGCGGCGCCGAGCCGAAGTTGTGGTCGAGGAAGAGCGAGGAGGGGGCCCCATAGGAGAGGCGGACCAGAGGGATGAGGTCTTCCAGCGCCTCATTTCTGAGTCCCTCCCATCCTCTCTCTCTCTGTGTCCTCCCTCCTCCCCCTACCAGATAGCATCGGGCATCCACGCCATTCTCATCAAGGTGGCAGCTCTGGGCCTAAGACCGGAGAAGCATCTGGGGATGCGGTTGGAGGAGATCCGAGGCACCATGCATGCGCTGGCAGGGTGAGAGCGCGTGTGTATGGGCATGTTAGCACAGAAGCATGAGCACTAGGAGTTTCTCTTTTTAGAAGCATCTGGGGATGCGGTTGGAGTAGATCCGAGGCACCATGCATCCACTGGAGGCATTTGTTTGAAACTGGTGGAGGCGATTAGGAGCACCATGTTTTGAGACGTCTCAAAACATCTCTGTTTACAAGGAGCACCATGCATTTCCTGGCAGGGTGGAAGGAGGGCATGGAAGCATGTTTGTGAACGTGTGCATGTTTGTGAACGTGTGCATGTTTGTGAACGTGTGCATGTTTGTGAACGTGTGCATGTTTGTGAACGTGTGCATGTTTGTGAACGTGTGCATGTTTGTGAACGTGTGCATGTTTGTGAACGTGTGCATGTTTGTGAACGTGTGCATGTTTGTGAACGTGTGCATGTTTGTGAACGTGTGCATGTTTGTGAACGTGTGCATGTTTGTGAACGTGTGCATGTTTGTGAACGTGTGCATGTTTGTGAACGTGTGCATGTTTGTGAACGTGTGCATGTTTGTGAACGTGTGCATGTTTGTGAACGTGTGCATGTTTGTGAACGTGTGCATGTTTGTGAACGTGTGCATGTTTGTGAACGTGTGCATGTTTGTGAACGTGTGCATGTTTGTGAACGTGTGCATGTTTGTGACGTGTGCATGTTTGTGAACGTGTGCATGTTTGTGAACGTGTGCATGTTTGTGAACGTGTGCATGTTTGTGAACGTGTGCATGTTTGTGAACGTGTGCATGTTTGTGAACGTGGTGGTGTTTGTGAACGTGTGCATGTTTGTGAACGTGTGCATGTTTGTGAACGTGTGCATGTTTGTGAACGTGTGCATGTTTGTGAACGTGTGCATGTTTGTGAACGTGTGCAATGTTTGTGAACGTGTGCATGTTTGTGAACGTGTGCATGTTTGTGAACGTGTGCATGTTTGTGAACGTGTGCATGTTTGTGAACGTGTGCATGTTTGTGAACGTGTGCATGTTTGTGAACGTGTGCATGTTTGTGAACGTGTGCATGTTTGTGAACGTTGAACGTGTGCATGTTTGTGAACGTGTGCATGTTTGTGAACGTGTGCATGTTTGTGAACGTGTGCATGTTTGTGAACGTGTGCATGTTTGTGAACGTGTGCATGTTTGTGAACGTGTGCATGTTTGTGAACGTGTGCATGTTTGTGAACGTGTGCATGTTTGTGAACGTGTGCATGTTTGTGAACGTGTGCATGTTTGTGAACGTGTGCATGTTTGTGAACGTGTGCATGTTTGTGAACGTGTGCATGTTTGTGAACGTGTGCATGTTTGTGAACGTGTGCATGTTTGTGAACGTGTGCATGTTTGTGAACGTGTGCATGTTTGTGAACGTGTGCATGTTTGTGAACGTGTGCATGTTTGTGAACGTGTGCATGTTTGTGAACGTGTGCATGTTTGTGAACGTGTGCATGTTTGTGAACGTGTGCATGTTTGTGAACGTGTGCATGTTTGTGAACGTGTGCATGTTTGTGAACGTGTGCATGTTTGTGAACGTGTGCATGTTTGTGAACGTGTGCATGTTTGTGAACGTGTGCATGTTTGTGAACGTGTGCATGTTTGTGAACGTGTGCATGTTTGTGAACGTGTGCATGTTTGTGAAGTGTGCATGTTGTGAACGTGTGCATGTTTGTGAACGTGTGCATGTTTGTGAACGTGTGCATGTTTGTGAACGTGTGCATGTTTGTGAACGTGTGCATGTTTGTGAACGTGTGCATGTTTGTGAACGTGTGCATGTTTGTGAACGTGTGCATGTTTGTGAACGTGTGCATGTTTGTGAACGTGTGCATGTTTGTGAACGTGTGCATGTTTGTGAACGTGTGCATGTTTGTGAACGTGTGCATGTTTGTGAACGTGTGCATGTTTTGTGAACGTGTGCATGTTTGTGACCGTGTGCATGTTTTGTGAACGTGTGCATGTTTGTGAACGTGTGCATGTTTGTGAACGTGTGCATGTTTGTGAACGTGTGCATGTTTGTGAACGTGTGCATGTTTGTGAACGTGTGCATGTTTGTGAACGTGTGCATGTTTGTGAACGTGTGCATGTTTGTGAACGTGTGCATGTTTGTGAACGTGTGCATGTTTGTGAACGTGTGCATGTTTGTGAACGTGTGCATGTTTGTGAACGTGTGCATGTTTGTGAACGTGTGCATGTTTGTGAACGTGTGCATGTTTGTGAACGTGTGCATGTTTGTGAACGTGTGCATGTTTTGTGAACGTGTGCATGTTTGTGAACGTGTGCATGTTTGTGAACGTGTGCATGTTTGTGAACGTGTGCATGTTTGTGAACGTGTGCATGTTTGTGAACGTGTGCATGTTTGTGAACGTGTGCATGTTTGTGAACGTGTGCATGTTTGTGAACGTGTGCATGTTTGTGAACGTGTGCATGTTTGTGAACGTGTGCATGTTTGTGAACGTGTGCATGTTTGTGAACGTGTGCATGTTTGTGAACGTGGTGCATGTTTGTGACGTGTGCATGTTTGTGAACGTGTGCATGTTTGTGAACGTGTGCATGTTTGTGAACGTGTGCATGTTTGTGAACGTGTGCATGTTTGTGAACGTGTGCATGTTTGTGAACGTGTGCATGTTTGTGAACGTGTGCATGTTTGTGAACGTGTGCATGTTTGTGAACGTGTGCATGTTTTGTGAACGTGTGCATGTTTGTGAACGTGTGCATGTTTGTGAACGTGTGCATGTTTGTGAACGTGTGCATGTTTGTGAACGTGTGCATGTTTGTGAACGTGTGCATGTTTGTGAACGTGTGCATGTTTGTGAACGTGTGCATGTTTGTGAACGTGTGCATGTTTGTGAACGTGTGCATGTTTGTGAACGTGTGCATGTTTGTGAACGTGTGCATGTTTGTGAACGTGTGCATGTTTGTGAACGTGTGCATGTTTTGTGAACGTGTGCATGTTTGTGAACGTGTGCATGTTTGTGAACGTGTGCATGTTTGTGAACGTGTGCATGTTTGTGAACGTGTGCATGTTTGTGAACGTGTGCATGTTTGTGAACGTGTGCATGTTTGTGAACGTGTGCATGTTTGTGAACGTGTGCATGTTTGTGAACGTGTGCATGTTTGTGAACGTGTGCATGTTTGTGAACGTGTGCATGTTTGTGAACGTGTGCATGTTTGTGAACGTGTGCATGTTTTGTGAACGTGTGCATGTTTGTGAACGTGGTGCATGTTTGTGAACGTGTGCATGTTTGTGAACGTGTGCATGTTTGTGAACGTGTGCATGTTTGTGAACGTGTGCATGTTTGTGAACGTGTGCATGTTTGTGAACGTGTGCATGTTTGTGAACGTGTGCATGTTTGTGAACGTGTGCATGTTTGTGAACGTGTGCATGTTTGTGAACGGTGCATGTTTGTGAACGTGTGCATGTTTGTGAACGTGTGCATGTTTGTGAACGTGTGCATGTTTGTGAACGTGTGCATGTTTGTGAACGTGTGCATGTTTTGAACGGCATTTGTGCATGTTTGTGAACGTGTGCATGTTTGTGAACGTGTGCATGTTTGTGAACGTGTGCATGTTTGTGAACGTGTGCATGTTTGTGAACGTGTGGCATGTTTGTGAACGTGTGCATGTTTGTGAACGTGTGCATGTTGTGAACGTGTGCATGTTTGTGAACGTGTGCATGTTTGTGAACGTGTGCATGTTTGTGAACGTGTGCATGTTTGTGAACGTGTGCATGTTTGTGAACGTGTGCATGTTTGTGAACGTGTGCATGTTTGTGAACGTGTGCATGGTTGTGAACGTGTGCATGTTTGTGAACGTGTGCATGTTTGTGAACGTGTGCATGTTTGTGAACGTGTGCATGTTTGTGAACGTGTGCATGTTTGTGGAACAGTGTGCATGTTTGTGAACGTGTGCATGTTTGTGAACGTGTGCATGTTTGTTGAACGTGTGCATGTTTGTGAACGTGTGCATGTTTGTGAACGTGTTGGCATGTTTGTGAACGTGTGCATGTTTGTGAACGTGTGCATGTTTGTGAACGTGTGCATGTTTGTGAACGTGTGCAGGTTTGTGAACGTGTGCATGTTTGTGAACGTGTGCATGTTTGTGAACGTGTGCATGTTTGTGAACGTGTGCATGTTTGTGAACGTGTGCATGTTTGTGAACGTGTCTACTGCTTCCTTGCGTGTCTACTGCTTCCTTGCGTGTCTACTGCTTCCTTGCGTGTCTACTGCTTCCTTGCGTGTCTACTGCTTCCTTGCGTGTCTACTGCTTCCTTGCATTGTTGCTTGCATTGCATCAACCTCTGTCAAGCATTGCAATGCATTAGTACATATGGATAAAATTAGTACTTGTGTGATTGCTTCGTCTTCCTCCCACGTCCTCTCCTCCCCACTCTCGACCAGTATTCGTGCATAAAGGTAGACAGCTTTCATATCCCCTCCCATCCCACTCCACCTCTCTCCATCACCTACCTACCACCCAAACCCCCCATGCATACAGCAAGCACACATAGAGATGGACGCCTCTCACATCATCCTACACTCGCCAGACCCCGTTGCCCCTGTGGGCGTGCTGCGAATTACAGCCTTCCACGTGGCACCCAAGACCCAAGATGGAGCTGCTGCTCCTGATGATGCTGCTGACGTGGCTCTCCCTCCTCCAGTGATCATTGATGCCAATGACGAGGATGCTTTTAGCGAGGATGGCAATGGCACTGCAATGGGAGCAGCCGGGGGAGCTACAACCGGAACAGGGGCAGCAGCGGGAGAAGAGAACAGGGGGTTGGATGGGGTGCGGGTGGCGGTGACAGTGCAGCGGCATGGGTTTACTCTCGTAGCCTGCAACACAGAGGGGCACGATGCACGTGGTGAGTCTGTTCAAAGTACACACCTTCGAACTTCAACCCGCTCCTTACCCCTCTCCCCCACGTGCTGCCCTCTACCCTGTCTGCTCTCTCCCCCATTGCCCCCCCCTTCCCCCACACATGCCAGCAATCACATCTCTCCATCGCCCTCTCCTCCGTCTCCCACACCCTCCTCTCCCTCTCCCACACCCTCCTCTCCCTCTCCCTCTCCTGGTCGCACGCCCTTGATGCCCACCTCCACCTTGCCAACTTTGCTTATCTCCTCACCAGAAGCATAACTGCCTGCCCATTTCTTATGCAGTGAGGTGTATTTTGAGGCGCCTCAAAATCCACCTTGCCAACGTTGCTGATCTCCTCACCAGAAGCTTAACCGCCTGCCATTTTTTATCCTCTCTCCTGTCTGCTGTCTCCCCCATCTCCCCTATCTCCCCCATCTCCCCTATCCCCCCCATCTCCCCTATCTCCCCCATCTCCCCTATCCCCCCCATCTCCCCTATCTCCCCCATCTCCCCTATCTCCCCCATCTCCCCTATCTCCCCCATCTCCCCTATCTCCCCCATCTCCCCTATCTCCCCCATCTCCCCTATCTCCCCCATCTCCCCTATCTCCCCCATCTCCCCTATCTCCCCCATCTCCCCTATCTCCCCCATCTCCCCTATCTCCCCCATCTCCCCTATCTCCCCCATCTCCCCTATCTCCCCCATCTCCCCTATCTCCCCCATCTCCCCTATCTCCCCCCATCTCCCCTATCTCCCCCATCTCCCCTATCTCCCCCATCTCCCCTATCTCCCCCATCTCCCCTATCTCCCCCATCTCCCCTATCCCCCCCATCTCCCCTATCTCCCCCATCTCCCCTATCTCCCCCACCTCCCCTATTTCCCCCATCTCCCCCATCTCCCCCATCTCCCCTATCTCCCCCATCTCCCCTATCTCCCCCATCTCCCCTATCTCCCCCATCTCCCCTATCTCCCCCATCTCCCCTATCTCCCCCATCTCCCCTATCTCCCCCATCTCCCCTATCTCCCCCATCTCCCCTATCTCCCCCATCTCCCCTATCTCCCCCATCTCCCCTATCTCCCCCATCTCCCCCCATCTCCCCCATCTCCCCTATCCCCCCCATCTCCCCTATCTCCCCCATCTCCCCTATCTCCCCCACCTCCCCTATCTCCCCCACCTCCCCTATCTCCCCCATCTCCCCTATCTCCCCCATCTCCCCTATCTCCCCCATCTCCCCTATCTCCCCCATCTCCCCTATCTCCCCCATCTCCCCTATCTCCCCCATCTCCCCTATCTCCCCCATCTCCCCTATCTCCCCCATCTCCCCTATCCCCCCCATCTCCCCTATCTCCCCTATCTCCCCCATCTCCCCTATCTCCCCCATCTCCCCCATCTCCCCTATCTCCCCCATCTCCCCTATCTCCCCCATCTCCCCTATCTCCCCCATCTCCCCCATCTCCCCCATCTCCCCCATCTCCCCCATCTCCCCCATCTCCCCTATCTCCCCCATCTCCCCCCTTCCCCCACACAGACCTGGCCTCACATCTCTCCATCGCCCTCTCCTCCGTCTCCCACACCCTCCACTCCCTCTCCCTCTCCTGGGCGCACGCCCTCTACGTCCACCCTCAACCCCTCACCACCGCCCTAAACCTGCAGATTGTTTCTGGGGATTCTCAATAACACTCTACTCATACACCTTGCACCCTCCGTTTCTTATCCTCTGTCCCATCTGCCCTCTCCCCCTTCATCCCTTCATCCCCCCCTCCCTCACACAGACCTGGCCTCACATCTCTCCATCGCCCTCCCCTCCGTCTCCCACACCCTCCGCTCCCTCTCCCTCTCCTGGGCGCGTGCCCTCTACCCCCACCTCTACCTCGCATTCTGCCTCGCACGCTTGTTGTGGCAGGTTTCCACCTGCACCTTACATTCTAAACCTGTTTCCTCATTATCAGCTTGCTCCATCTACCCTTTACTTATCCTCTGTCCTGTCTGCCCTCTCCCCTCTCCCCCATCTCCCCCCCTTCCCCACCCCACACAGACTTGGCCTCACATCTCTCCATCGCCCTCTCGTCTGTCTCCCACACCCTCCGCTCGCTCTCTCTCTCCTGGGCGCACGCGCTCTACGTGCACCTGTACCTCGCTGACATGGCGCAGTTCGGTGCTGCCAACTCAGCGTACGTGCGCCACATCACCGAAGCCGAGTGTGTGGACGGCGTGCCGTCGCGCTCCACTGTGGAACTGCCACTTGGGGCTTCATCATTGGGCGGCAGCGGGGGAAGCAGCACGGAAAGTTCTCGAAAGGGATGCAGTGTTGCAGTTGATGTGCTGGCATGGGGAGGGGAAGCCGGTAATGTGGGAGGCAGAGAAGAGGAAGGAGGAGGGAGTGGTGGAGAGGAGACGGAGGAGCAGCAGGGGGAACAGGGGCAGCAGGAACAGCAGCAGGATGGGGGGGTGAAGCAGCAAGGGACGAGGCAGCGAGGGGAGAAGCACGTGGTGCATGTGAAGGGAGTGTCGTGCTGGGCGCCTCGTGCATCGGCCCTTACAGCCAGGTATATGTGGGGCCCACCTCCCTCTCCCCTCTTTTCCCTCTCTCTCTCCCCTCTTTTCCCTCTCTCTCTCCGCTCTTCTCCCCGACTTTTTTCGAATCTAAAGTGGGTGTCCTGCTGGGCCCCCTCGTGCAGCAGCCCTTACAGCCAGGTGCGTGCATGCTCCTCCCTCCTTCCCCCTTTCCCTTTTCCCCACTTCTCCCTTCTCCTCCTCATTCCCTCTCCCCCAGTGCACGATCCACTGTGGGTTGCTGTGGATGGCGGGTGGGTCACCTGCTTTTGAGTCGACTCAAAAGCTATGGATGGCGGGTCAATTGGGTCTAGACCCCCCAATCATGGAGCTGGTGGAGGGAGGCGCGAGGAGACAGGCAGACAGGGCGCTGAGAAGCTGCGAGAAAGAGGTGTTTTTTCTCCCCCTTCCGCCCTTTCCCTCCCCCTCCTCCCCCCCAGAGCACAAGCTTCAGTGGGATGCTGTGGATGGCGGGGCAACTGGGATTAGACCCGCCCCTTATGGAGCTGGTGGGGGGAGGGGCGAGGAAGCAGGCAGAGAGGGCTCTGAGTAGCTATGATGAGTCAATGTTCCCCCTTCCCTCTTTTCTTCTCTCTTCCAGAGCACAAGCTTCAGTGGGGTGCTGTGGATGGCGGGGCAATTGGGTCTGGACCCCCCGATCATGGAGCTGGTGGGGGGAGGGGCGATGAGACAGGCAGAGAGGGTGCTGAGGAGACAGGCAGAGAGGGCGCTGAGGAGACAGGCAGAGAGGGCGCTGAGGAGACAGGCAGAGAGGGCGCTGAGGAGACAGGCAGAGAGGGCGCTGAGGAGCCAGGCAGAGAGGGCGCTGAGGAGCCAGGCAGAGAGGGCGCTGAGGAGCCAGGCAGAGAGGGCGCTGAGGAGAGGAGCTGTAACCATGGAGAATATTCTTCTCACCTTTCCCCTCTTCCCGCTCCATCGCCCCTCTCGCCTTCTTCTCCCTCCCCCAGAGCACGAGCCACAATGGAGTGCTGTGGATGGCGGGGCAATTGGGTCTGGACCCATCAATCATGGAGTTAGTGGGGGGAGGGGCGAGGAGACAGGCAGAGAGGGCTTTAAGGAGCTGCGAGGCTGTTGCTGCTGTGGTGAAGGGGAGGGATGGGGCTGTGGGGTGGGGGAAGGGCGGGGGAGGGAGCGAGGAGGAGGGGAATTGGGAGGGAGAAAATAGAGGTGGAGGGAGTGGTGGGGGAGGGAGTGGGGGGGAGGGGTGGAGGAAATGGGTTCGGAAGGGGTGTTTGAGTGTTGGGAGGGACTGTATCGCTATGACAGTGTATTTGGCACGGGATGTGGTTGGAGGGGAGAGAGGGGAGGTGGCTCGGGCAGTTGAGGAGTTTTTTGCAGCTGCCCGGAGGAAGAGGAGGGAGATCTGGGCAGCGGAAGGCAGGAGAAGTGGGACAGGGAGGATGGGGGAGACAGGGGAGGGGGAGGGAGAAATGGGAATAGGGGACAAAGGAGGTAGAGGAGGGGAAAGCGGGGTTGCAGGAAGAGGGGAGGAGAAACGTGAGGTGGTGTGGGGTGTGGGGCAATGGTGGGTGGTGGGGCATGGAAGGGAGGAGGGCGGCGAGGAGAAGAGTGGGAAGGAGTCTGCTGCTGATGGTGGCGGGTCAGGGATCGTTGGTGCTACACGAAAGGGGAGAGATTTTGAGGACAGGGGTGAGGGGGAGGAGGAGGGAGAGGAATTGGAGGAAGAGGAAGAGGAGGATGAGGAGGAGGAGTCAGAGGGAGTGATAGCAGCGGATCCGCTGCTGCAGTGTTTGGTGGTACCAGGACTGCCTAAAGGGTAAGTGTGTGGGGGGTGAGGCGCCTCAGAGTATTGGGCGTTAGTATGTGCTGCAGCAGGAGGAGTCAGAGGGGGTGATAGCAGCAGATCCGCTGCTGCAGTATGTAGTGGTACCGCTGCTGCAGTATGTAGTGGTACCGCTGCTGCAGTATGTAGTGGTACCGCTGCTGCAGTATGTAGTGGTACCGCTGCTGCAGTATGTAGTGGTACCGCTGCTGCAGTATGTAGTGGTACCGCTGCTGCAGTATGTAGTGGAACCGGGCTTGCCTACAGGGTAAGTGTGTGCCCTTTCGGCGTGAGGCGCCTCAGAGTATTGGGACCACCCGGGGTGTATGTGTGTGCTGCAGCAGGAGAGGGAGAGCGAAGTGATAGCAGCAGATCCGTTGCTGCGGTTTGTAGTGGTATTGGGACCGGTTAAGGGGTAAGTGTGTGGGTGCTTGTGCCCTTGACCCTTGAGGTGCCTGAATGAGTATTCAGACTCCCTACAAGTTTCACGCCCTTCGCATGCCATTTTCATTTGCCTGCACTGCTCCTTCTTCTCCCACTACCCATTCCGTGTTTCTGCACCTCCTTTTATCCTCCTCTGCTCTCACAACCAGCCTCCACCGAACTCCACCTCTCTCTCTCTTTCCCTGTCTGCCCAACATCCCCGACTTTCAATCCCTCTTCCAACAGGGCTGCTGTTGAGATCGCTCCTCTCCTTGCCGCCCCACCTCTCTCCTCCTCCTCTGCCACCTCAGCTGCCCCGTGGCCAAGTTCCCTCACCCCCCTGCACCTCCAGTCCACGTCAGCACCCTGCCACGTGTCAAACGCAGACTGCCACACGTCAGTTCTAGGGAATCAGCTGGCAGGGATGAGCTTGGGCGAAGGAAAAGAAGGGCGCGAGTCAGCAGAAGCAGACAAAGAGACAGGGGCAAAGGAGGTTGACAGAGTTGTGGGTGATGCGGCAGAGACAGACAGGCATAGAGGGGCAGAGGGCACAGACAGTATGGCGGAGGGAGCAGTGGGGAGGAGAGAGGGAGATGAGGGGGAGATGCAGAGGAGAGTGGCTGTGGGGGGAGGGGCGGAGGGGGGAGGGGCGGAGTGGGGAGGGGCGGAGGGGGTGAGCATTAGTGGGCGGGGCACCGCAGCAGCGGGTGCTTTCTGTCGCGTGCACCTGCGGGTGGAGCAGACAAAGGGGGAGCAGAGGGGAGGGTGTGAAGGGAAGCTTCCTCTTGCCTGTGAGGCTGCAGGGGAGGGGGAGGGCAGCATGGGGTCATGTGCAGACAGCTTGGTGGATGGGGTTGCTGGCGGATGCGTCAGAGTGCTGTCAGATGCCCTCCACGTGGCACGACTTGATTGGCCCGATGTTGCGGTGAGGTTTCGTTCCCTGATGCATGCACCTTGGTGGCCTTACCGCCCTACCATATCCATGGTCCTCTCACCACGGTCAGTCTGCCTGTCGTGGTGGCATTTGAGTTGGCTAGAAATGTACCTTGGTGAATGCACCCTGGGGGCGTGGCTTGCCATGTGTGTGTGTCTGTGTAATGTTTGTCCTGCCTGTCCACCCTCGACCACATCCCCAATCTCCAACCCCCAACCATTGATTGCCCTTGCCATATGTTTGATTCACTGCCTTCTCTTTTCCTGATGATGTGTGAACCGTTTCCATTCTGAGAAGAAAATTACCCACTATTCTTCTCTTCCCCCCTCCCCGTTGTTCCCCTCCCCCTCCCTCCTGGACACCACCCGATCAACCCCACAGATGCTCCGTGTGTATGTGGCGGCGGGAGGGCCGATCCCCATCCCTGCCCTGTCACTCGCCGTCAAGACTCATCTCTCCAAGACCCTGCACAACCGAACCCAGTCCCAAGCCTCCCATGAAACACCTGCTTCAAGCCACCAGCATGGCCCTTCTGCTGTTGTGGCGGAGGTGCTGTGCCCAATAGTGGTGCCGGTGACAGCAGTGGGGCCCACAGCTGCAGTGGATGCTCTCCTGGCAGTAGAGATGACGGCTTTTGGGGTATGAAGTTAAGCCATTGTCATTCTGGCACTGTCAAGCCGGAGTGATGCTGTCTAGCCGGACCGACACTGTGGCCTGCAGAAGTGCCATGAAGTGTAGTGCACTGCTGCTAACTTATCTCTGGATTCTCTGTAACAAGGGAGTAAGCAATTTGAACACTGTATACACTGTGATAATGAAATATTTTCACTACACTGCCTTCATGCATTGAATGCAGGTGCAGTGCCACCACATGTTTTGACAGGCGTCCACTTGAACTCTCATTACTACCGTAATATGCGCTGGTCTGCATGTCTCCATCTATGCAAGGAGGCACATGCACGTGAAGCTCCAACTGGGACACTAAGCATCATACCCCTGCCTCACGGACCCTTGTGAGGATGTATGTATCAAGTACGGGAGGTGGGGAAAGGTGGAGGAAAATAGGAAGGCGAGTGAGGGAGAGAGGGAGGGAGGGAGAGAGGGTGGCGAAAGGGAGGGTGAAATGAGGGTAAGAGAGAGAGGAGAGGAGCGGGGATAAGGCGGGGGAGAGGTGCGTGCTCATGGAACGGGGAGGGTAAAGAGCGAAGAGGAGCTGGAGGGGGGTGAAGGAAGCGAGGGGAAGAGAGCGAACTGAAAAAACTCCATCATCACTCGCTTATTCCACATTTCGAAGCCGAATACAACCCTATTGAACAGCCATCAATCTAACACCCACGTTTCTGGTGACAGATACGCTACATCTGAGACGCTCTACGTCCCAAAATCCTAAGATCTGCCTAACCCCCGAGCCCACAGCCGTCATCTTTGCATGCCCTGGAATTTCCGCACGACCAATCCGCTGACATCAAGATACCGCTGCGCGCAGTTACTTAGGCAGGAAGACTCCGATCCGCTAAACTTGGTTCCCGGCGCGGCAGTGACGCACTTGTCCCAGCACACCTCCGTGAGCTTCGCCACCAGCTCGTTCAGCATCGCCTTCTGCTTCTCCTGCTCCAGAAACTGCTGCAGCTCGAAGCTCGCTCGCTTCTGATCCGCGTCCATAATCGATAAGTGGCGAGAGATTCTAGATTGAACCGCAAAAAAGAAGCGAAGGAATCAGGTGACGTGGATGTACACGAACCGGTCGTGGAATTTGGACTTGAGAATGAGTTCTTTTACGTGTTTGTCTGGGCTTTTGAGAGAGCGCATACTGTCTCATAATGGAGCTGTGTTGCAAGTCACACTTTGAGATGCGGCTCATTTCAGGGATTGCTCATTTTTCGAACGGTTTGGTAAAGTTCTGAGAGTGCGAGAGTGCATGATATTATATGCAACAATCGCAAACATTATTAAGATACTTAATAAGTTTGGAGTAGCATCACCGAATGGCTTGGTAGCGCTTATTCCCTGACATACCTCTTACGAGTAGTTACACCATTGCATGTGCGCACCAAGATTCTCCATATCTATACAATCTCCCGTTCCCAACTTCCTTATCCCCTTTACCAAAGGCACAACATCACCAGCACAACAATAAATCCTGAGAACGCTGAATTGGTTCCTGAAGATGCACCCTTTGTTTTAGCCACGGAACCTGTGTTTGAACCTGTAAAACGAATGTTGAGCAATGGAAATACGATTGACATAATGACAGCAGGACGTTACCTGAAGGCTCTTGGGGTTCGTTGAGAGATCCAGGTACACCAATAGTCTTGTTGGTAGGTGATGGAGATGGTGCTGAAGCTGGGCTAATAGAGCTTGCTGGTGCTGGACTTGGCACTGAAGCTGGGCTAATAGAGCTTGCTGGTGCTGGACTTGGTGCCGAAGATGGTCCGTGCGTTGTTGAATTTGCTTTAGCCGAAGGTGCGGGAGCTGGTGCGGAAGAAGGTGCTACCAATGGAGCAGGTGTTGGTGCTGGGGACGAAGGCTTTGCCAAAGGCGATGGAGCTGATGCATCCGGTCCTTGGACAGGTGGTGTAGCCACCGGAGGCGGTGGAGATAAAGCGGTTAAGTTAATGGATGCCTGCGTATTTCAAGTTAGAATCTGAATAGAAGACTTCAAACAAGCAATTCTTACATTCGCAAGTGGAGGCACAGCGTCGCACAAGAAGAACACTGATTTGTAGACGCTCTTGAAGTGCGCTTGCGCGAGTCTCATAGTGACGACATAGTAACTGCAACAGATTGTCATGAGTCAAGAGCATGCAAAATGCGTTGATATTCTATAGCAGAAACTTACCAGTCGCTGATCTGAGAATCGTTTTCTGTCAGCATTATGGCAGCCTCGAGAATACTTTGACCACAGGCAGAAGTCGATGCTTGAGTCGAAGGGTTGGAGCACTTCGCGTTATTGCATGAAGCGGACAATGATCGGTAGCTAACGACCGATCCGACATCTTCGTAGCTTGTCAAAGGACAAGTGCTTTCGGTGATGTTCTTCTCTGCAAGAGGGAACAGCCAATAACCGCTACATAGGCCAAATACATCCACCATTACCCCTTTCTTCTGTAAAACTGTGCGGAAGGTGTTACGACAAGCATTATTGTATGACGGACTCCCGACAATTTTCAAAACGTCGGCAGATCCGTTATTGTAGCTTGCAGACAGAATGTTAGTTTCCATCTTGCGAAGCGACTGACAGCAGGATTCGGGGTTCTTAACCAAGCCTTTACAGGAAGACACATCGTTCCTCATGACGCTTTTGAAGTTTGCTGGACAGACTGTTCGCTGACCAGCAACAGCTGCAAATGAAAGGCAATGTCAGAGACCTTGCGTCTATCGTTGTCGTCTGACAAGAGAGCTACTACCAAACCTTACCTCCGAGCCATAGAAGCTGGAAAAGCAGGAGAACGGTAAAGCCAGTCATGGTTGGATGTTGGGTGGATGGAAATGCAAGAATGCCAGTTCAGGGACAAATTGCTGCATTTGAATGGAGAGGAGGAACTGTCGCACTGGAGTGATTGCATCCATCCAAAACATGCATGAACTACATTGCTGGCACGGTTACCAGGTGTTAGAAATCCATTGAAAGAACGAGTACGGAAACAAATCATCACCATCAGAGAATCGCTGAAGTTCAGTCCGCACTCCGTTCATGCTGAGGCTGACGCAGATCGCTCAAGTTCGCTTGCACCCTATCGCAATCGCAGTAACATCCTTGGATCTTTCGTGAATCGTGAAATTTGTGCCTCTGTGACCCAGCATCTACACTAGAACCGAAAACTGAACAGGCATTGAACAGGCATTGAGCCCAACTGAAAGGCAGACAACCTTTTACGTACTAGCCGCCTCCATATGCTGTCGTTGTGCCAAGAGGTTCACCTCCAGAGTGACGAAATTGTTTTTCGGGATATCTCCTGCTGTCAGATTATCACGACTTGGTTCTAGCCTTTAGCGATAGCTTGTGTCACGCTCATCCCGCATTGCCTATTAGGTCTTAGGCAGCTGTTGTTCGAACGCAGGTCGTCTCCGCAAGTTACAAGTCCTACACCGCTGTTCCAGCGCCTCCTCAGTGCTGATTCACAGCTCGTTCTAGTGTAGTCAATTATAGATTCCTGTTTCGTCTATATATAGCTCTTTTGTCAGCACATATGGCGGATAAGCACTTCGAGCCTGTTCCGCGCGACGCGAAAGTGGTCGCGAGCATCTTAAAATCGATGGGTGTGGAAGATTACGAGCCACGTGTCGTCCACCAGGCACGTGTGACTCTACCACCAGATTCAGAAAAGCTGAGATTCCATGCGGACGTTCGAGCATGCTCTGTGGAGTCGTCTGACAGGCCTAGCGAAATAGTTTATTGAAGCGAGAAGCATTCGTCCCTCGTCCCGCTCCCTCCCGCCTCACCAGTTCCTAGAGTTCGCTTACCGCTACACGACGGACTTGCTGGGGAAGCACTCTCGTGTATGCATGTTCCCCTTTCAAACTCCCTTTCCCTACCCTATCCCGCTCCCTTCCCGCTCACCAGCTCCTGGAGTTCGCCTACCGCTACATGACGGACGCGCTGTGTACTCAAAGTATGCAGCTTCGTTCCGCCTCCCAAATCCTTTCTCCCGAACCTATCCTATCCCACTCTTACCACTGCATGAATGGGTGTGCTGGAAAAGCACTCTCGTGTATGCACGTTCCCTATCCCATTCCTTACCCTGTCCTATCCCTTCTCCCGACCCTATCCTATCCCATTCCCTACCCTGTCCACTCACTTCCTTCCCACTCACACCAGCTCCTGGAGTTTTCCTATTGCTACATGACGGACGTGCTGGGCGAGGCCCGAGTGTATACGGAGCATGCAGCTGCATTCCTTTCTCTGGGTCTCTTATCCCCACCTTACCCTATCCTGCACCCTCCCTCCCACCACCAGCTCCTGGAGTTCTCCTATCGCTACGTGACGAGCGTGCTGGGCGAGGCCCGCGTGTAGTCAAAGCACGTAGTGTCGTTCCACCTCCCAACTCCATTTTTCCTGCTCTTTCCCGTTCCCTCCACTCACACCAGCTCCTGGAGCTCGCCTACTGCTACATGGCGGACGTGTTGGGCGAGGCCCACGTGTACGCGGAGTATGCAGATTCACCCTCCTCTCTACCTCCCTGTTTCCTACCCTATTTTCTTCCCCCCCACCTGCGATGGAATGCAGCTCCTGGAGTTCGCCTACCGCTACATGACGGACGTGCTGGGCGAGGCCCACGTGTACCCGGAAGGAACATGCAGATTTGTTTCCCTCTCCAACTTTTTTTTGTTTTTCACCCTATCCCGTTCCCTCCATCCCAACCCACACCAGCTTCTGGAGTTCGCCTATCTCTACATGACGGACGTGCTAAGCGACGCCCACGTGTACGAGGAGCATGCGGCGTCACCCTCTTCTCTAACTCCCTTTCTCCTACCGTATTTTCTCCAATCACACCTGCAATGGTTTGCAGCTTCTGGAGTTCGCTTACTGCTACATGACGGACATGCTGAGTGAGGCCCGAGTGTACGCGTGTTCACACTCCGTTTCCCCTAACCCATCCTATCCTCTTCCCTCCCACTCACACCAGCTCCTGGAGTTCGCCTATCGCTACATGACGGACGTGCTGGGCGAGGCCCGTGTGTATGCAGAGCATGCGGGGCACGCGGCTCTGGAGGTGGATGATGTGCGCCTGGCTGTGCAGGCCAAGGTCTCCTCCTCCTTCTCGCAGCCACCGCCCAGAGAGGTAGGCAGGGTAGATTCAAGGTACCTACCAATATGGGGCGGTCGGCCCTGGAGGCGGACAATGTGCTGTATTGTATTGCAATCATGTCATGTGAGCTCGATGTGCCGATGGCCGTGCAGGGTCGTGCTCGCCTTCTCTCTGGTCCCCTCCTTCGCCGCCCAGAGAGGCAGGCAGGCAGCAAGGAATGGTGAGGGCAATGCAGAGGAAAGGGAAGCTGTAAACGAAGGGGGGCTACGTTTGTGACAGACCATGCAGGTCAAGTCCTCCTCCTCCTCCTCCTCTCAGAAGCCGCCCAGAGAAGTTAGGATTAAGAGCTGGGCAACACGCATTAGGGATGCGAGGAGCTAGAAAAGAGGTGGAGAGCAGTGTGTGGGAAAGGCTAGGTAGGGCCGGTTTCATGGGGGTGCATGCATGTACGGCTGGCCGCACAGAGTCAAAGATATCTTCCTACTCTTAGCTGCCGCTAAGAGATGTATGATTGACGGAAAGAGTTATATTGATGTGAGAGGGGTTGTCCCGAGCGGTCGTTGAGAGGAAAGAGACAAGGGTCATTGCACGAGGTGAGTCTCCTTCTCCCAATCCTGCTCCTAGCTGTTACCAAGAGATAGACAGAGCTTGTGCGAGAGGGATCAGAGGAAGGTACGCGTAAGGCATACTGGGTGCCTGCCCTTCTTTCCTCCTCTTCAAATCTCCTGTCTGTGCTCATGGAGTTGAGTACCTGTCAGGTATTTGTGCTATTCTATGCCAAAAGGCCAAGTTGCCTGTCAAGTTGACTCTCCTTGCTTCCCTCAACTCTCACCCGTATATATTTTCCCTCTTATGGAGCTGGCTCGTGCATCGAACTGCATGCCGATCCATCTGAACTGCCTTGCACTGCAAGTACGCTCACCTTGTTCCACCCATACTTCTCCCCTCTCAGATGCTCGTGCAACTGGCCTGTACGCACAAGCGCATGCCAAACACACCTGAATCTCTTAAACCTGAGCTGTATCTCATGTTCTCTCCCTGTGTCCCCCACCTCCTCTCTCACCTACCGTGTTTCACCCCTACCACCAGGTGCTCATGGAGCTGGTCCGGCACGCAACGCTGTGCCAGTCCATCTAAGCTACCGTGCATTGCAACGAAACTCACCTTCTTCCTCACATCACCCGACACCCATACTTCTCCACTCTCAGGTGCTCATGGAGCTGGCGCGAGCATGCAACGCTGTGCCAATCCCGCCCATAGCCGGGTCGGGGCTCTTTGCGCTGCCCCCTGAGGCCGAGTGCCTGCTGCAGCCCAACGTGCAGATCGCTGTCCCTCTGCCCGGCCCTGCTGCTCGTGGTATGTACTGGGTGCCATGTGCTATCACCCTTGTGTCAAGTGGTCGGTGGTGATAGGTGGCGGTATGTGGTGGTAGGTGGTGATAGGTGGTGGTTTGTGGTGGTCGGTGGTGATAGGTGGTGGTTTGTGGTGGTCGGTGGTGGTAGGTGTCTATCTCACCAGCTGCTCTTTGCGCTGCCGCCTGAGGCCGAGTGCCTGCTGCAGCCCAACGTGCAGATCGCCGTCCCTCTGCCCGGCCCTGCTGCTCGTGGTGAGTAGTGGGTGCCATGCGCGGTGACCCTGTCTTTGTCAGGCGGTGACTGGTGGTAACTGGTAGGTGGTGGTAGTAGGAAATAGTCACATCAACTACTCTTTGCACTCCCCCCTGAGGCAGAGTGCCTGTTGCAGCCCAACGTGCAAATCGTTGTACCTCTGCCCAGCCCTGCTGCCCGTGGTACGTGATTACGTGCCATGCCTTGTCGTCACCCTCTCTTCGCAGGTGGTAAGTAGTGGTAGGTGGTGGTAGGGGTTGGTAGGGTGGTGAATGTTGGTAGGTTGTAGGTGTCGATCACGCCTTGCCCCCTGAGGCTGAGTGCCTTTTGCAGCCCAACCAGCCCAACCCAACATGCAGATCGCTGTCCCTCTGCCCGGCCCTGCTGCTCGTGGTACGTGCCATGCCTGCCACCCTCATGTCAGTGGTACTATGTCATACGTGGCAGCACGTACACTCCCCAAAGGCTCGTCTCATGTCATGAACCTGTGAAGTGAAGTGAGTCTAACTCTTCATTGTCCCTTCTCTTTTCCCTGTTGATGCTCCAGGATCACACAAGAGACAACGAGAGGGAGACACAGGAGGAAAAGCAGGGGGGAGGGGAGGAGGGGGGAAGGGAGGGGACGCTGCAGGAAGAGTAAAGAAGGAGCAAGGGGGAGCAGACTCGTTACAGGATGGGAAAGCTGGTGTAGGGGGGGCTAAGGTTTCGTTCTCCCTCGATGCTAGAAAACGATGATTGTTGTACCGGTAATAGTGTTACACAGCCTGGTGGTTGCATGGAAATAATTTTCGCTGCATGACCAGCGCTATAATTCGAAATACAGTGCCACTAACACGTATCTGCGGAGAGAGATGAGGATTAGGCTGCAAAATGGTCAACAAATATTTGGAGTTGAGTCTCAGACCTGTAAAAGTACAGCATATTCAAAGGTAATACAACCTGGACGCTACAAGCAGTGTGATAACACCGTAGAGGTGCATCCCTAACCGATAAAACCCGAACCACACTGTCGTGACTTGCGGACCACTTGTGACAGGCTCGGCTCGGCATTCTCGAGGCTCTCACATTTCAGGCATTTCAGGCGCACTGATGAATGGCAACGCCATCCACCCCTGCAGCCCGCTATTACCCGCACCAATCGAGTCACGAAATGAATATCTCTGAACCGCGACGAATTCTATTCAGCTGCATCAAAGTGGGACCTGACATTCCCTCCTAAAATATTTAGCAAATCCATTGCATGAATCACCCACCAAGGCAAGAACACCACCGCAGACGTCAGAAGGAACCTGTCTGAGCGCGCTGGATTCGCGGACCTCTTTCCTAGTCGTTCAAATCAGTCATAATGGAGAAAGGCCATACACTTTGTGCTGGGAGATGGTCGTGCAGATTACGAAGAGTGCTCGACCGTTATGTCTGTGAATTAGGATCGAGCCCTCAAAGGCATGGCGACGGTTTTAGGCATTTCAGCAGCTGAACGAGGATCCAGCGAGCGAGTGAAAGTCGCATGTCGCCTGCGACCGCCATCGCGAGCAGGACCGCTCGCCTGGACTGTAGCTGCCAATGTACGTTGTTGGTGGGTCTGCCTTGTTCGTTTTGGAGACGACTCAAGAGTCTCGTATCTGGTTGTTCTGTTCGTCGTTACCGCTCCTGCTTTAGTCGCTGTTTTTGCGTAGAGCGCATCGCACGCCAAGAGTTTCCTTCCTGGATAACATCATCCCTACTGCTGGTACCTCGTATAACTTGTTGTTCCCAAGGAAGTCCCTCGTCGAGCCGTCGCAATCGCGACGCTTGACGCCTCCCTGACCTTATTTGTCACGGCAATAAGTATTTTCTGGCCTAGGTTCTTCCTCATGACTATACCTCTTCCCTTCCGTTTCCTCTTTCGTTTCCCTCATCAGACCGTCGTCGCAGCACGCAATCCCAACGCGTTAACGCCGTGTCCGTCGCCGCAACCCACTCCGCTCTCCAGCACCGCTACCACCTCCTCCACCTCCTCCTCCGCGCCTCACTCGTCGCATCCCTCACGCTTTTCGCACACACTTCAACCGACTGCTCCCCTTCCTGCTAAGGCCCTAACCTTCGAGTTCAACCACGTGTTCGGCTATGATTCGTCCAATTTCGAGGTGCGCTCTATCAAGCCCGAGTTACGTTTTATTTCTTACCATTTTTTTCGCTTTCAGTTCCCATTCCACCTTTATGAGTCAGTCCAGCTTTATGGATACAATATATTATTCTCCTATCGCTTTCCCATTTTTCATATGACCTGGCCATTGTGGTTACCAGTCCTGGTTAGCTTCTCCCATTACCAGTCCTGGTTGCCAGTTCCGGGTACCAATCCTGGTTACCTATCCTGGTTACTAGTGCTGGTTGCGAGTCCTGATCACCAGTCCTGTTTACTAATTCAAGTTAATAGACCTGGTGACCTCAGCATGGTTGTCTGACTCTGCCAGATCCTGCCATCCACCTGCTGCCTGGCAGGTATACACCGAGTTCTGCAAGGGAGCGGTGGAGAGGGCTGTGGCGGGGTGCAGAGCGGTGGTGCTGGTGTACGGGCAGACGGGCACAGGCAAGACGCACACCATCAGCGGAAGCAACGTGGAAGCGGGTGTTTTTCACCATGCTATGGCAGATGTCTTCCGGGCGGCACAGAATGCTGTCGTGTCTCGTCATGGTGCCAGCTGTCAGAGTGCTGACGTCAGTGGAGCTGAGCGTGAGGATGTGGGAGCGTTGGATCTGTCCACATTGGCAGCAGCAGACACGTCAGCAGCTGCTGGGAATGCCACGTCATCATCTGCAGGAGAGGGGGGTTCTCCAGCCGCGAATCAATCACCACCGTTGATGTGTTTCCTATCGGTGGTGGAGATTTACAATGAGAGAGCCGTGGACTTGCTGCAGGGAGTAAAACCTAGCTCCGTGCAAGAGAAGGAGAATGGGAGCAGTCGCAGTAGCGACAGCTCTAGGAGCAGTTCTAACAGCAGTATCTCACACGCAGCAGGGAGGAAGCTTATAACGGAGCAGCAGCTGCACTCAGTGGAAGAGGCGGCAGTGGCGTTTGAGCTGGCAGGGCACAGGCGCAAGGTGCGGGGCACGAGCAGGAACAAGCAGAGCAGCCGCTCCCACATGCTCTATGTCATTCGGATCAGAAAAACGCTGCCGGTGAGTGGTGCGGAAACGAGAGCGATGGTTATTGAAGGAAATGAAGGGCTCTTCAACGAAGGGCACCATAATGAAGGGCTGTATAGCGAAGGGATGCTGTACCTGGTGGACCTGGCTGGCAGCGAGAGCTGCAAGGGAGAAGACGCAGCAACAGCAGCAGCAGGAGGAGCAGGTGAAGGAGCAGGAGGAAAAGGAACAGGAGGGAGGGAGCAGCAGCAGGAGGGCCCATGGTGGGGCGGAGAGAGCCCTGTAGTGCCGCTCATCACAGGCCTTCCCACAGGGCCCCTCGTGCCGCCCCTGGCCCACCGACAGAAGCAGTACCAGCAGAAACGGGGACAGGCTCAGATGCAGGTGCCGCCGCAACAGCAGCAACAGCAGCGGCACAAGGAGCAGCGGCAGGTGGGGGGTTCGAGGCGGGTAGGGCAGAGGGAGGCTAAGAGGAGGGAGACGGAGAGCATCAACAAGAGCCTGCTCGCGCTCACCTCTGTCCTCACGCACCTCAGCCAGGCCCGGCCGGGCCTCCCGCCGTACCGCCGGTCTCTGCTGACAAGGCTGCTGCAACCGTGCCTGGGAGGCAGGTCCGGTGGTGACAATGGTGACAATGGTGGCAGCGGGGGAAGCAGTGGGTACTGTGCTGTGCTGTTCTGCATCGACACTCAAGACGTCCACGTCAGCAAGACCACTCTCAGGTGAGGCGGACTCGCTTCAGCCAAGGGTAATGACCTGACCTGCAATACTCCCATTATGGTATATCCAAGCACCTTTTGCTTTCATGCCTTTCCATAATCTATCTGGCCCTCCCCTTCTCCTCTCCTCTCTTCGTACCATCCAGGTACTCTGCCATGACGCGGCGAATCCGCATGGACTATCGTTCTTCCAACCCAACCCAACCCAACCCAACCTATCCAATGTCAAATCCTTCCCCTCCCTCTCACTGCTACCCTACCCCTCTATTCGTATCATCCAGGTACTCTGCCATGACGCGGCGAATCCGCGTGGACTATCACCCTTCGATACTGTCACTCTCCGCGCCCAAGCATGCCCCTCCAGTCGTTCACAAGCCCGCTAGGCGTCGGCCAGCAAAGGCCCCCGCTGCTGACGCACGCTCGCACAGCCCCACACCGGCACAAGGAGAGAAACAGCAGAAGAAGGGCGTGAGGGCAGGTGTGACTGGGGTGAGTAAAGTGGAGGGAAGGAGAGTAGACGAAAAAATGGGTGTACATGGGAAAGGGAAGGAAGGGGAGGTGGAAGAGGAGAAGGAGGAGCAGGGGGAGAAGATGGGAGTTGAAGAGGAGGTGAGGGTAGTGGTTGAGGAGAGGGAGGAGAAGGGGTTGGAGGAGAGGAGCAGGGAAGGTGAGGGAGAGGAGGGGAAGAGTCAAACGGTGCAGCAGGAGGTGCAGCAGAGCACGGTTTCCCCCCAGCTGCAGCCTCAGAAGGGAAACACGGAGCAGCAGCAGCATCAGCAGCAGCAGGAACAACCGCTGCCCCTGCAGCCGCAGCAGCAGCAGCAGCGGCACCAGCAGCAGCAACTGCAGACCTCCCACCAACGCGGTATTCTGGCAAAGACACAGCAGCAGCACATGCAGGGCGGACAAGGGCACGGGCATTGGCCGAGGCACATGGATCCCAGGGAGCAGCAGGTGTGGGTGCTGAAAAAGCGGGTGCAGCAGCTGCTGCAGCAGAACCAGCAGCTGCAGTGGCAACGCCTGCAGCTGCTGCTGCTGTGGCGCAGAGGGGGAGAGGGCGGGGGAGGAAGAGGAGGAGGAGGGTGGGGGGAGGAGGGAGGAGGTGCGGCTGAGATGCTGCTGGCAGCAGGTGTGGATGTAACTTCTGAGTCCGGCAGCAGCAGCTGTGGGGGTGCTTCACACGAAGAATGTGTTGCTGTCGGAAAGGTGACGCAATGGGGGGAGGAGGGAGAGGAGAGAGTAGAGAGAAAAGAGGACGGGTGCAAAGGGAATGGTGAAGAGAGGAGGAGGCGGAGGAAGGGTTGGGGCTGTGTTGGTAGCCAGGACCCTCCTGCTGCAGGAAATGTGCTTCAAAGGAATGGAAATGGGATTGAAGGGAACGTGCTTCAGGAATGTGGGTTGAATGCGGAAGCTGTTGGGGTGGTGTGTGAGGGAGGGACGGCAGGGGAAGCAGTGCTTGAGTGGTACAATGGCTATGGTGACTATAGCGATAAGGAGAACGCTTTTAACGAGTATGCTCTGACAACACAGGCACATCCGGAGCAGATGGGGCTGGGGCTAAGTGCTGCTGCCACTGGTGCTGCTGCTGCTGCTGCTGCTGCTGCTGCTGCTGCTTTTGACCAACCTTCTGTTGGTGCCTCCAGCAGCAACGGCAGCATTGGTGACAGTGGCTCTCTTTCTCCTGACAATACCAGTTGTTCTCCCGACAGTGGCAGCGGCAATGTTTCTCCCAATCCTTCCTCACCAAATCCGTCCTCGCCCAAATGCTGTTCACCGAATAGCTGCTCGCCCAACACCTTCTGCTCCGAACCTCTCACACCCGCTGCCCCCATGGTCACACCCTCACATACGTCCACTTCTACCTTCTCATTCTTATCTGCATCGTCCACCTCTTCTTGTGCAGCGTCAACACCACTATCAACGTCAACATCACGATCCACATTTTCAATCCCAATTTCTCCGCTTGCACAGCAATCGCCAGCAACTTTTCATCAAACGTTGCATGCATGCACACCCCCAACCATCCTCCCACGCTTGTTCTCCCTGTATCTTCCATGCATTGTATCAAAACGCCGAGCTCCTGGTGCTGCCGCACGCACCGCCGCCGCCACCACATCTGCTGCTGCTGCTGCCAACTGTTCTGCTGCAGAGCTTGGGTGTGACTCGAGCCATCCCTTCTGCAACCAGGCGAATCCATGGAAGTGTGCAGCTGTGGTGTGTACAGCCATGCAGTGCATTGCTCTGGACGTGCTTAGCAGAGGCGACAGGGATGAGGAGGACGGAGAGGCGGAGGAGGGAAGAGCGTTTGGTGAAGCGGGAATCTGCTTGAAGCAAGTGGAGAAAGGAGAGGGATGGAGGAAAATGGACATGGAAGGACATCGAGTGGAAGGGGAGGAGATTCTGAAAGGGGGCGCCGGAGGCAGGAAGAAGAGGGCTGTGGTGCTGCAGCGCTGGTTGGCGATGGCATGTGTATGCTTCGGCAGTCGGGATGATGTTGGTGCGGTGTGGTAGAAAATCGAACAGGCTGGGCAATATGCTGTATTTAAATGTATCGTGAGGCCTATATTGCTGGACATGTTTGTGCACATTTGTTTGAGCCCCTTCTTTGTGATGTGCGACTTACAGATAAAGCAGTATGGAAGTGTATGCAGATGGTTGGAAGCAGAACTAGTAATTAACAGCTTATCGAGTAACGGGAAAGCATCCTCGATCATTCCGCTTGGGCACAAAGCAGCAGGCACAATGCATTTCCCTCGCAAGAGGAAATACAACAGAGGAGCAAAATAGCTGCGAACCTCGATAGCAGTGAAACTCCTAGATTCTTGCTTTTCCTCATATGCATGCGATGCCAGTCTGTAAATGCTCGTGGCTTGTCGCTCCCATCGACAACGCTTTCGCATAGCCCGAACTTGTCTGCTCGCACCAATGGAAGTAAACGGATCGATCTTGGCCTAAAAGGGACACCTACTGAACGTTTGCCAAGGTCGATTTATGCACTCCAGGCACACGCACGTTACTTTGCTCTTCGAGTTCCCCTCGAGCTCACCGCGCTCAGTCGAACGAATCCAGTTACCGTTATGATGACCTTCTTGGGATTGTACGGCTGTCTTCTTGGTGTATTCCGTCCTGCTACCCACGGAAGGAGCTCCTTCAGATGGGCTGCGAAAAGGCGAATCCTTACTCTTTCTCAGAATTCCGGATCCTCCTACTCATCTATTGCTCCTGCCCTGCTGGACTAAGGTTTTTTGGACTCAAGCTCCCGGTGCTATCATGACCGCGCGGGCCTATGTTTATGACAAGGATGGCCTGGTTGACTTCGAGGCTTCCTTTTCTGAAGAAGAGAAAACTTGGCTCTACGTTCCTTTTAATGTGCCTCCTCCTAAGCCATTTTTTTCTCTGCGCGAATCCGAGGCATGTTTGGAGCATGAGTTTTGGCGGGACTACTCAGACGAGGATCAGACCTGGCTGTTTTCTCCACCAGCATTGTCACCTTCCCGTGCTTTTCAAACGCATCGTCCTGAAAATGCTGCTCGTACGGATAAGATCCATGACAACAGCAGTAGCAGCAGCGGTGGCAGTGTACTGTCGGCTGTGAGTTCCACCGGTGAGAGCAGTCCGACCGGAAGCAGTACCAGCAGCGACAGGATTACTAGCAGCTCAAAGGCTGCTCTTATCAAGGACGTTACAGGCCAGATAAAGGCGAGTCGAGAAACGAAGCTTTCTACTCTTACTGCTGCTTGCAAAGAGCCTTCTTGTCCATCAATTGGTGCGAGTCCAAGGGTGCCAGTTGGAGGTTCTGAGAAGTCTCTGAGGCAAGTCAATGTTGCTCCGAGGACTCTGCTGTCACATGATTCTGCCAGAAGGCCAGGGAAGTCAGCTGCTGCTGATGGGAAACCAGTGCAGCAATTCAATGCTGCTGAGAAATCGAGGAAGCCTGTTACTCAGCCAGCGAAGTCAGGTGTTGTAATGACGACTAAGTCATCAGCGGCAGTGGATAATTCTATAAAGCTGCATGGCTCTTCTGTCAATGCAACTCAAAAGACTGAGAAAACATTGGCTTTTGTTGAGGAGTCAGTTGCAGCTGCTACCCCTCCTGAGAGCCGTATGAAGCAGGCCACTGCTGCTAACAAGTCGCCAGCTGTCAGCTGCGATGGGTCCACGACCAACAGAGCACTTGGAAGGACCCAGAGTGTGCAAGCAGAAGCCAAGGCAAAACTGGGCAGTGGAGTGGCAGTTACACCACCCACTGGTGAAGAAGCTTTGAGACGTCTTGCTAGCAGTGCATCACGCATACCCAGGCCTTCTAGCTCAAGACAGGCAGCAATGGTTCCCATGTCTGTGCCAGTCAAGGCCCATGCCGCATCAGCAGCACGTCTGGGAGAAGTTACTGCAAGGATCACACCAGCACACGCTGCTGCAGAGGCACCTATCCTGAGATTTGGATTTGGCAAATCGACAAAAGTAGCTTACCAGGAGTGGCAATCTGCTGTTTCAAGGAAAAACGGGCACTAGTAAGTTCTCAAGTTTGGATTGGATTGCTTGGTGCCTGGTCTGAAATGTGAAGTAACGTCGAGAAGCATTGGATAGGGGTGCTAGCACTGGATACGTCTTGGTCAACTGTGGATATCAACGTGTGAATGGCTGATGGATTTCAATACCCTATCAGTGCTGATGATGAGTCATTGTTTGCAGTGCAACATGGTAGACGTGTACACTTTCTACAGCAACTGCCGTTGGCAAGCACAAATGCTCATGGCATGATCTGGTACCGTAATCCAAGCAAGGCAACCAAGTTTTGCAGCCTCAACTCAAGAAGCCTTCCCACACTGTATTTACATTGTATCCATAATAAAACACCGATTCACTAAAGAGAAAATCAGAACAACCTGCGTATCCTGCTTACATGGCTGCGCAGCTATCAGAGGCCATGGCTACAATATGCACTTGATAGAATTCTTCTGATATCAAACCAGTTAAACTTGGTCTCTCTGTAATTCACTCGCCGAACATCTCCGCGCCCACCTAATCACTACATGCCTAGTAGCCGACTCTGTGCACGCTACCAGTTCAGCACGAGCCTGCCAGCTCAGATGGATGCCACACCACCTCAGCATATCCCTGCCACCTCAGCAATGCGAGAAAACTCATCTATGTCAATCTCCCCGTTGCCTAAGGTAAGGGACAGAGAATTTGGAGAGGGGAGGGGGGGGTGAGCAGGGAGAAATCGCACGGGAAACAGGGACAAATTGGAGGTGGAGGGCAGGAAAATTTGGAGGGGAGGGGACAGGGAGAAATTGGGAGATGGGCATGCGTGGGTGGGTGCAAGCATGTGTGGATGGGTGCAAGCATGTGTGGATGGGTGCAAGCATGTGTGGATGGGTGCAAGCATGTGTGGATGGGCGCAAGCATGTGTGGATGGGTGTGAGCACGTGTGGCGCGTGCAATCATATGCGTGTGTCTGGAATAGGAAGATATAGGAAGCAAGAAATCCAGTGGAGGAGGTGTGAGGTTAAATAGATACCAGAACTGAAGAACTTAAACTCAAACCATCTGCAGCTGCACTGTTCACAACATATCATCCGTAACCGCACTGTAGAACACACCATCTGTATCTGTACCATCCTTGTACCATCTGTATCTGTACCATCAGTGTCCGCAATGAGGATCAAAGCAACTGTAAACGTACTGTCCATAGCATACCATCCATGTCCGTACTGTAGCACATGTCTGTAATTGCATTTTGGAAAAGATACCATCCACGTCAGCACCCAGAACATACCATCCACGTCAGCACTCCAAAACATACCATCCACGTCAGCATTCTAGAAAATACCATCCACGTCAGCACTGTAGAGCATACCATCCATGTCCGCACTGTAGAGCATATCATCCACGTCAGCACCCAGAACATACCATCCACGTCAGCACTGTAGAACATGCCCCTGATCTCGTCATCCGAGAAGACAATCCCGAGGTCCAACATGCCTCTCTTCAAAGTGCGCTGCGATATCTTGCCCTGTGCGTTCACATGGGTACAATGGCAGCACATGCATGGCACATTGTCATCTGAGAAGACAATCCCGAGGTCCAACACGCCTCTCTTCAATGTGCGCAGCGATATCTTGCCCTGTGCATTCACCAAGGCGACATGCGAGGAGTAGCACATAGGAGAGCGGTCTGCTACGATAGGAACAAAGGGTTCTGCACAGGGTGGGAGGGGAGAGAAAGTCGCTAGAGGAAGACAATCCCGAGGTCCAACACGCCTCTCTTCAATGTGTGCTGCGATATATTGCCTTGCTAATTCATGGCACATTCCCCGGCACGTTACACATACCCAGCATGTTGCAATATCCTGGCACGTTTCACATAAGCGAAACGGTCAGCACACAGCAGTCAGCACTCATCTTGTTACACGGATTAGCACATGAATGCTACGTGCGTAGGAGTGAGTGAGTGCACAACAATTTCAGGGCTTCAACATTGGACTATGAGAGGATTCGGGAACCCATCAGCGATGACTTTTGAGTCGACTCAAAAGACTATGAGAGGATTCGGGAACCCATCAGAGACACAACTATCCATTATAAATGAATTAACACATGTGTGCACTGTACCATACTCAGAGTTCGCTTATCAGAGAAGAGCTGGTACATAGCAATCAGGTCCTGGTGCATGTTCTGCTCGCCCTTATATATACATATATATTATATATATATAATAGATTTGTATGCATAAGCCTGTGTGCTGTAGTGTTTGTACTGTAGCACACTCACAGTTCGCTTATCAGAGAAGAGCTGGTACATGGCGATGAGGTCCTGGTGCATGCTCTTCTCGCCCAGCCCATACACATGTGCATACATAAGTATATGTAGTGCAAATATTGTTACAGTGTAGCATACTTACCGTTCTCTTATCAGAGAAGAGCTGGTACATGGCAATGAGGTCCTGGTGCATGTTCTGCTCGCCCATGTAACCGCTCATCACCGCTACGTACTCCTCAAAGTCTATCGACCCATCGCCATTGCGATCCATAGTTGCAAAGATCTCCTCAAACTCCTGAGGGGGGGAGGCAGGTGTTTGTGGAAATTGGGAGGTTGGAGGAGTGGAGAGTGGTGGGGTAAGGAATGGGCGGAGAGGAGCAGCGATCCATGGTTGCAAAGATCTCCTCTAACTCCTGAGGGCGCAGAGAGGGGTTTAGGGTTGGGGGAGTGGCGCGTGGGAAGGGAAGAAGGAAAAGGAAGAGAAAGAGAAAAGATAATTGGCTGGAAACGTTCCCTTGAACTCCAGTAGAGAAGAGGGAAGGTGGGGAGCCACGTGTAGAAAGTGTAGCTTTGAGACGTCTCAAAACTACACTTTCTACAAAAGGAGGAGAAAGAGAACGACCATTCGAGAAAGGATCATTGGCTGGAAATGATCCCTTGACCTCCAGCAGAGAAGCGGGAAGGCGGGGAGGTTAGGGCGCTTGGGGGGTTGGGAGGTTGAATTGGGGGGGTTGGGAGGTTGAATTGGGGGGGTTGGGAGGTTGAATTGGGGGGGTTGGGAGGTTGAATTGGGGGGGTTGGGAGGTTAGGAGGGTGAGAGGTTGGGAAGAGCCTCGTGGGGAGGGAAGAGGAGACAGGGAGAAAGAGACAAGGGTTTGTTGAGACAAGGGAGAAGGAAAAGGAGAAGGGCCCTCGTGCCAAATCTCTCCGCTGACTGCTGAGACAAGGGGGAAGGCCCACAAGGCGAAGGAAATAAGGGGGGTGGGGGGAAGGGGGCTGGGGGAGGGGGGGGTATAGGGGCTTGGGGTAGGGGGAAAAGAAAAAATGCTGGAAGGGGGTGGAAGGAAAGGGCTGTGGTGGGAGGAAGGAGGCTGGGGGAAAGGAAAGGAGTCAGGGAGAGGAAAGGGGTTGGCGGGGGGAAAGAGGCTGGCAGGATGAAGTGGGTGGAAGAGGTAAGGAAGCGGGAGGATGAGAGAGGGTGGAGAAGCTACAGGCGAGGGAAAGAAAGAATCACAGTGCGAGAGGAGAGTGAGAGAGGGCATGGGTGTGCATATGGAGAGAGGTTGAGACATGCAGGGTTTCGTTGCAGGACGATCAGGATTCAAGTGCATGAGAAGACCCAAGGATCCAAACTCATAGCGGAATAGCAGCAGTGCTGCTTTCCAGATCCACAGGATTCAAGCGCATCAAATGACCCAAGGATCCAAGCTCATAGCGAAATAGCAGCAGTGGATGCGCAGTTCGGAATGCACTTTCCAGATCCACCACAGGATTCAAGCGCATCAAAGGACCATGTGCTGTGCAGATGGCACACGATGGTACACACAACATGCTTGCATGCATGCCTATCACACGCAACACATGCATGGGGGTGCGTGCGCTAGCAGAGCAGCACGCAAAGAACAAGCTGCTGCCACCGAAGAAACGAGGGGCGAAGCACAGACTGCAGAAGGGAAAATCCTGCGTACAGGTGGTTTAGATAGATGGCCAGACGAACAAGCTGACTATGCCTCACCTCCTGACTGACGTTGATGCCCAGCTGACTGCACAGAGGGTATGCAGGGGGTTGGGGGAGCACAGAGGAGCACAGAGAGCAAGGATTGGGAGAGGCGCGCAGAGGGGGTTGGGGTGGAAAGGAGGGAGGAGGAGAGCCGTGGGATAGAGCGATGATCAGGTACCTACGAAGTGCAACAAGTGACGTGCATGTGCCGCGTTGGAGTTTCGAGGTGTCTCAAAACACAGATTATCAGCGCAGATGTGCTTCATTTTGAGGCGCCTCAAAGTGCGCATGTGCGTCATCAAACACTGCTGCTATTCCGCTACAACAAGAGAGTGCATAAGCAGGTCACATGCGTGCGATGCGAGCGACCTTTTGGGGTCGTTAAACAACTCGTAATCACACCAAAGTGCACTGCTATTAACGAGGACATGATATGAGGTGCATCTGACAGGAAGCTCTGACGTCATTATAGGGTTTTGGGCATCATCACACGATTGCTGACGTCATGGCACTGGCCTCTTACCCCATGGCGAATTTCATCTCCATTTTGTCGATAGATCCTGCCAGTCAACGCCAGTCAACGCCAGTCAACGCCATTCAACGCCAGTCAGTGCCATTCAACACCATTCAACGCACTCAACGCCAGTCAACGCCAGTCAACGCCAGTCAACGCCAACGCCAATCAATGCCAGTCAATGCCAGCCAAAGCCATGCAATACCAGTCAACATCATTCAACGCCGAGGCACGCAGGATACATGTAGATTATTTCAAGAGTCGTGAGCACGCCTTCGACACATACCCCACCACACCACCTTATGAAACCAGAGATGGAAGCGAGCCGTGATAAATAAGTGTGCACGGCATGACACGGCACGGCATGACACGGCACGGCACGGCACGGCACGGCACGGCACGGCACGGCACGGCACGGCACGGCACGGCACGGCACGGCACGGCACGGCATGGCACGCAGGAGAAATGCTTTTAGGCTCAGGTTCTAATGAATCGTGAGTCGTGACCACGCCTTCTACACATACCCCACCACACCACCTTATGAAACCAGAAATGGAAGCGCACCGTGACAGATAACTATGCACGCATGGCATGGCACGGCACGGGACGGCACGGCATGGCATGTCACAGCACGGCACGGCACGGGACTGCATGGCACGGCATGAGACGGGACGGTATGGCATGGCAACGCGCTAAAACTTTCTGGAACCTGTCCTGTGCAGCCTGCAACCTGACCTCCCACACCCCTCCATACCCCTCTATACCCCTCTATTCACCTCTGTCGTCCATTGCCCACCCACACTGTCCCCCACTGCTCCCCCCTGTCCCCTTAGCCCTGCTCCCCGACCCTTCACTCTTCCCATTCATAAGAAACAAACCCAGCATAACCCAAAAAGCATGTCCTAGAAGCAAGCCGGACTCGATTAGCTAACGATTCAAGGACCCCCACTCACCCGACTTGTCTTTATCGAACACGCTAAATATGTCCTCAATCTTTGCCATTTGCTGCGGAGTCAGCCCCCGCGCCGCGCCAGCAGGCGGAGCCGCTGCAGCGGCCGCCGCCGCCGGCGCCGCAGCTGCCGGCGCGGGCAGCGGAAGCACTCTGGTTCGCCCTGCGAACATCCTGGTGGGATTGGCGCCCGCGAAGGAACCCCCCGCGAAGCTTCCCCCCACTCCCGCCGCGAAGCTTCCTACGCCAGCCCCTCCCGCCTGGAACTGCCGCGTCGATCCGGCGCCCGGCGCGAAGACCCGCGATGCGCCCGCGGCGCCTCCGCCGAAGACGCGGCTCTGCGCGCCGGCGGCGTGCGCTTGCGCGTGCGCGTGGCGGGTGCTGGCTTGCGCCATGATGGACGTGAACTGCCGGCTGAACTGCTGCGCCGCTGCGCGAGAGCTTGCGCCCGGCGGCGCAGCTCCGCCGATCGCGCCTCCGCGCAGAGGCGCGTGTCCGCGCGGGGATGACCCCGAAGGTCCCGCCGCCGCGTGTGGCGCCGGCGGAGGCTGGTTAGACCTGTTGGGCTCCCAGCCGCTGTTTCCGCTCGTCATGGCGGTGCTTGTGGGGTCCTCGTGCGCGTGTTATGCGCGTGTGGTGCGCGTGTGGCGTGAGCGTGGCCTGCGCGTGGCGTGCGCGTGGCGTGGGTGTGCGTGTGGTGTGCGTGCGGGAACCTTGTGTGCGTGTACGTGTCTTAGGAACAGTGGCGATACTGGGTATTAACGGGCACCTAACGGCTGCGACTCAAATCGTGTGATGCGCGTAGGCGGGGAGCACTTGCGTCCGTGTTCGGGTCTACGTGCGCGAGCAGCCTGTATGCTGTGCGAGCAATAACAGTGACGCGAGACCACGATACTTAGTCGACTCAAATCGTGTAATGGAAAACGACCGCTGGATGCACCGAGAGCATACGGATGCAAGCCAGAGGACGGGAGGAACGAGAGAACGAGCGGTGTCGGCCAATGTCAGAGAACGAACGTACGAACGAGCGGTGCAAGCCAGAGGACGAGGACGGGAAACGGGAGAACGAGCAGTGTCGGCTGACCAACCAACTCGTGTCGTGTCCTTACTACGCGTGTAAGGAGTACTACGAAGTTCACCGCTCCGACTACGGTCAATTTTTATATTGGAGGCAGGTAAGGGCGCCGACAGCAACAGAGACACTCGAAGGCCTACATAAAATTCTAACTCCAGTGTGGCTCTTCTCACTAAAATATGCCCACAAATTCAAGACGTGCAAATTCGAAATGAGTACGGTATGTGCTGAGCTAGCTTGAAGAACCTTGGTTTGGGAGGGATGGGTGGGCTGCTGAAAAAGGGCAGCGCGGCAACACCGAGGATAGCACAAGGAACGAGACTTCGGGTTTGCCGTGTGTGGCGGGGCTTTTAGCGGGAAAGCAAGAGCTGGAAGCATGGAGGAACGCGTAGTCAAGAAAGCACAAATAATTCCGGAGGTAGGGGGTAGGCAATATTTAGGGAAAATATGCCACAAGTAACAAACTTGGAACTCGATAACGTGAATGGTAAAAAAAAAATGCGTACGGTCACTGTATCGGGTTTTCAGACGGGTTTGGTAAGCGGGGTCACGGATTCAGTCACTAACAACAGGTAAAAAATCACGCGAATGGTCACACATGTAACTCCCGCCAAAAAAACTTGAAACTCAACAAAATTCCCGCTCGCGCCCAACCAATCTGCGAACTTGTAAAAAAACTAAAACCCAATCGGAATCGGATGCGGTTTGGGAACGGATCAACCCTAAACACCTGGCGAGTTACGTGTTTAGGGTTGATCATCCGAAAATGCATCCAGGTTCTTTTGGGGTTTCATTTTGTTTTGGCGGGAGTTTCATCTGTGACCATTCTCGTTTTTTTTTTACCAGCTGATTGTGACTGATTCCGTGAAACGCTTTACCAGTCGCGTGAAAACACCCTTTGCAGTGACCGTAACCTTTATTTTTTTTACCAAAAATGTTTTCGAGTCCCATGATGGTTACGAACGGCATATTTTCCCCAATATTTATGGAAAAAAAAAGGGAAAATATGTCAATGGTAACTGAGAAACTGAACGAGAATGAATTGACTAAGGGAAAGTTGGGTACAAATGTAAACCCTAGAAAACTGTACCCCATATGTGCTACCCCACTATAGCCTACAGTAGCTATGTCATATAAATCTGACACACCCCCATAGGCAAAGTGGGGGAGAACAAGGGGTCACAAGACCAGTCAAGCAAAGCAAAGCAAGCTCAGGGTGGATCACAAAGTCACCACACATTCCGAGCACAAGTTCAAGGCCACAAGGCCAGTTCACATGCAGGATTACATATATATATAAGGCTAGACAAGCAAGAGCAAATGTATATATATATGCAACAGTACAAACAAGGTCAAGGGGTGAGCAAGTGAGGCAAGGCAGGCACAAGACCCAGCTGAGTACAGAAGCGCTGATGATCACAAGGCGCAAGTGCCTTGGTGAAGATATCAGCAGTGTTGGCCTGAGAGGCCACGTACGCAAGCCGCAGCTGACCACGCTGCTGTAGCTCACGAGCAAGGAAGTAGCGGAGAGCAATGTGCTTCGTTCTGTGCTCCAGTCTCTGCTCTCGACACAAGGCCAGCATGGCCTTGTTGTCTACGTACAGCACTGGAGGAGAACGAGGCGGCTCTCCGAGGTCAGTCAGCAGGTAGGTGAGCCAGCGAAGCTCCTGTGCAGCCATGGCCCCGGCGTAGATCTCAGCCTCACAACTGGAGCCGAGAACAGAAGACGAGCGAGTAGCCCGCCACGAAACAGAGCCGGAACCAAGGCTGAAGGTGTAACCCTGTGACGACCGCTGCGTAGCCTGGTCGTCAGCCCAAGAAGCGTCTGCGTGCCCAGTGAGGACCACTGGACTCTGCCCTCCAAGCACAAGCCCCATGCCCGACGTACTGCACAAGTAACGCAACACCCTCTTCGCTGCAGCCATGTGCTCCGGTCTGTGTCTCCCAGGAGCAACATAGCGTGCGAGAATGCTAAGAGGGTATGCGAGGTCAGGTCGTGTGCAGGTCATCAGGTACATGAGGCAGCCAACAAGCTCTGGGTACGGGCCACTCGACTCTACGGACTCATCCGAAGGCAGAGCTGAGAGCGAGTGGCGAGTAGGCAGAGGAGTGGCCTGAGGCGAGGAGTACGTGAAGCCGAAGCGCTGAAGGACCTGCTGCACCATGTGTGACTGAGTCAGGGTAATGGTGCGGCGTGCTCTGTCCCGGGTGATCTGCAAGCCAAGGTAGCTGCGCAGTTCACCCAGGTCTGTGCACGTGTGTCTCTTCTGCAGCTCGGACTTCACGTGGGCGAGTCCAGCAGTGTCAGCTGTGGCAAAGACCAAGTCGTCGACGTACACGAGGATGTAGAACGGCGGCAAAGAAGTGTCGGTGCGCAGAAACAGCGACGGGTCGGCAGTAGAGGGAGCAAACCCAAGAGCCGCAAGTGTAGTCCTCAGTGTGTCGTGCCACTCACGCGGTGCCTGGCGGAGACCGTAGACTGGTCGCCGGAGGCTCCACTGGGTGCCAGGAGGAAAAGACCCAGTGAAGCCAGGTGGGCGACGCAGCCAGATCTCCTCGTGCAGGCTGCCCTGCAGGAAAGCAGTGCTGAAGTCAAGAGAGTGCAGCTCGTAGTCGCGGTGAGCAGCTATGTGCAGCAGTACCCGAAGAGTGGTCATCTTCGGGGTGGGAGAGAAGGTCTGAAAGTAGTCAACTCCCTGCCGCTGACTGAAGCCACGAGCCACGTAACGCGCCTTGAAGACAGGCGGAGAACCCGGCGGTCGCTTCACCCTGAAAATCCACATGCCACTGACGATGTTCGCCCCAGGCGGGGGAACCTCGTCAACGTAGGTGCCTGTGGACTTCCAGGAAGCCATCTCTGCGTCCATAGCTGCCTGCCACTGAGAGGAGTAGGGACCCTCTATCGCCTCCGCGTAAGAGCGCGGAGTCGGGATGTCAAGTGCATCCGGGTCTCCCTCAGGGGTAAGCAGTACGGACACGAGATGAGGTGAAGCAGCAGCCAAACACTGGAGCTCCTCCTGCC